AGACAAAAAAACAAGACTAAACCAGGACTAAAACCAGAACTAAACCAAGACAAAAAAACAGGACTAAACCAGGACTAAATCCAGGTCTAAAACCAGAACTAAACCAGGACTAAAACCAGAACTAAACCAGGACTAAAACCAGAACTAAACTAGGACTAAACCAGAACTAAACCAGGACTAAACCAAGACAAAAAAACCAAGACTAAACCAGAACTAAACCAGGACTAAACCAAGACCAAAAAACTGGACTAAAATCAGAACTAAACCAGGACTAAACCAGGACTAAACCAAGACAAAAAAACAGGACTAAAATCAGAACTAAAACCAGAACTAAACCAAGACTAAACCAGGACTAAAACAAGGATTAAAACCAGAACTAAACAAGGACTAAACCAGAACTAAACCAGGACTAATCCAAGACAAAAAAAACAGGACTAAATCAGGACTAAACCAGGACTAAAACCAGAACTAAAACCAGAACTAAACCAGGACTAAACCAGAACTAAACCAGGACTAAAACCAAGATTTAAAACCAGAACTAAACCAGGACTAATCCAAGACAAAAAAACAGGACTAAATCAGGACTAAACCAGGACTAAAACCAGGACTAAACCAGAACTAAACCAGGACTAAACCAAGACAAAAAAAACAGGACTAAAACCAGGACAATATCAAGTAATCCAAAGCATTCAGATTACGTTACTAAAGTTTAATGGATTACGTTACAAACTACATTTTGGGGTAAGTAATCTGTAATCTGTAGGGGAATACATTTTTAAAGTAACCTTCCCAACACTGTATATCGATGCAGCAGCCCACGATATCGATACTGTATCATCACATTAAACAATACGATATAGCGATATTTCAATATTTTTGCACACCCCTAATTATGATTACAGATTACAGTACCTCTAAACAAGAACTAAAAAAAATGAGGACTACATTATGAAATACTCACGTTTTGAGAAACACTGAGGAATATGAAACGTAGATACTAGTTGTGTGAATCCAAATACCAACCACGACAATATATTTACAAAGAAAACAGAAGTAAAAATGGTAGGTAGGTTTATCTGGGCGCAGTTCTTCATGCAGCTCATATAGACAGTATATCTCCTGCCCCTCCTGTTCCCCTGATGGCTTCACTGACAGCTCTGCTCTGAATACAAAACACCTCTCACTCTGTGGCTGACAGGAGCCTGGACAACCTCTGCTCTCCTCCACTCACTCACTCACTCACGTCTGACTATACGAAGTTCTTTTAGTACAGTGGATTCAAGTCACAATTATAGAAAGAGATTAAAGGTTGTATAGAGGATTTTCCAAGGAACGAGAAATCCAGCGACTGTTTGTCCTTTTTCAAATGTTGCGCATGCGTGAAACCACCCCCCCTCCCCTACAGCTCCTACGTAGAAACGCCTCCTCCCGCCTCCTCCTTACGCCAGAAACAGGTTTGTTTACAGCCGGTGCTGCACATGACTTGTAAACAACTAACTACAGTGTTGGTTAGGCAAGACGGAGAAGTGAGGAGCGGGGGGAGGGGGTGTGCGGACATTTCGTTCGCGGACGAGAAGAGCGGAGCAGGGAGAGAGGAGAGGGGAGCGGTGCGCGGAGATTCCGTGCCCGGAGAAGTGAGGAGCAGGGGGAAGAGTGGATCGGGCAGCGGGGACAGGAGCAGGAAAGGGGTGCAGAGAAGGTTGCGCGGAGATTCAGTGCGAATGAACTAGCTACAACACGCAGCAGCAAGCGGACTCTTTCTTTGCCTTGAAAATTACGTTTTCAGACATAGGATATCGCTTTCGTGTCCTGAAAAACGTTTGTCTAGCTCTTGGAAATAAAGTACGTTTTCATAATAAGCAGAAGTGACCTGTCCAGGAGTAATTTGTGCGACCAGTGCGTCAGTCTTTAGACTCTGCGTCTGCTTCAGTCGCGCCATCGCTGGAATGAATCTACAAGAATCACCTTAGTTTGGCTTCGCTGCTTTTCCCCTTGTCTTCTTCTTTCAGCGACCTCAAAAACAGACTTTCTTTTGCGGCGAACTGCTCCTGGATTCTAGTCGCCATTGCAACAAACTTTGTGCGAACTGCGAGGAAGATATAGGTCAAAAAAAGCCGCTAAGAACTGTTGCGTTGGTGGAGTAAACAGCGTCTGTGCGGCTTGCGTCTGTGGACTGCGTGACAGTCGTACTGTAAACCACGTACCGGCGGCGCGCAGGCAAGTCAGTTACGCTAGAAACGTAGGGAGATTGATTGACAGCCTGTCAGCTCACAGATAACGAGGCAGTGTCGTTATCTATTGGCAAATGTTTAGCCCCACCACGTCCAGAGTTGATGAATTTTTATTTTCTTTTTTTTGGTCATCATAATTACAAGGCTACTGCATCTCTATAATCTATCATTGACAATTTGAAACAAAAAAAAAATCCTCCATACAACCTTTAAGGTACACTTTAAAGAAATGTGTCCTCCATCCTTTAGTGCCACTGGGGCCTGTTAGAGTGCAGCGCCAGGGGACCCATCTCCGGATTTTGAGCTGGACTGGAGGATTTTATCGATTGTGCATTTGTTTGACTGAAAATTACAATGAAAAAGCCCGTATTATCCCTTTTTCTGTTCTCTATCATCATGCAAATAATGTGAAATGACTGAATTGTAAAGATATTTTATTGATTTGTTGATTTGCATTCACTTGGAGGTTCAGTGGCAACTCCAACCTCTTCGGACGTGTCATTAAGCAAGACATTTTCCCACTAGTTCAGAGTTAAAGGGTCAATTTTACGCTATTTTCTGATGTTATAATTTTATTTTCTCACCACAAACATACCTGGAGTTGTGTTTTGTTTCATTCACACAAGTTTAACACATAAGTCCTGCATATTTAGACTGAGTTGTTCTCTCAAACTGACTCTGTTCCACTTTGTGATGTCATGTGGTGATACAAAAAGTGCTCCACTGTGTTTTTAAACTCTATACACCTTCACTAGAATCATTTAGATGATTTCAACCCAAGAATTGCCAATCTTTACTTAACAAAAGGATAAAAAAAGGTAATTGTGAACATGAAAACTGTCGCTTCATGACATCACAAGGTAGAACAGAGCATTTTGAGCTTTGGAGATGTGAACAGACTAATAATAAAGACTCAAACATGTGTGAATGAAACAAAAAACAACTTCAGACGTGTATTTAAAGGGTCAGTCTGGAATTTTGGACATAGGACCTTATTTCCTAGTGACTCAAGAGTGTTGGAGACGTGTGGAGACACTTTTTTAAATATTCCATCCAGTCCTTGTATTTGCAGAGGTCACTGGTGCTAGACTAGTGCATGTCAATGGCCATAGTTATCCTGCCACTAAAAACAGTCTTACCCACTCCACAAAACACCCAAAGATAATCTATTATTACACCAGACTGTCGATGTAAATGTCTGTGTCGATAGAGTAATTTTAGAAGTAAAACCAACCTTGTGTTACACGCGGGCACATTGATTCGGATTATTAGTTGTTTGTGTTCCCTTTTTGTGTTGTAATTAGTCATTTTTGTATAATTTTTGTTTATGGTTTATTTTTGTGTGGCTGTTCGGAGCCTATAAATACGACTGTTTGCCCGTGGCTCTCTCTCTCTGCTCCTCTGCTCCGTGCGCCTTGTTCCACCCAGCCCCGTTCACCTTGCGTGCTTCAGACTTCATGAGCGCGTCCTGAGGGTGGCCTCGCCCCTGTCAGCCAGGTGACGGGTGGGCTCCATGTAGCCTGCGTTAGCCGTTAGCCTTTTGTTTTGACCTGGTGTTTTCACTTTCCTTTTGGGTTCAGGTTGGTTTGGGTTTTTTCTTGTCTTTAGTTACAGGTGCTGGCACCGGCTTCTACGGCCCTGCACAGGGTTTGGCCCGGTGTCGCACCTTTTTGTTCTGTTTGGCCGGCTCGCCAGGTCCACCTTTCTGTTTATTACTTTTCATTATTTTTGGGGGGCACGGGAGGGTTTAAATTTCTTTAAAAACGTAAAAAAAAAAAAAAAAATAAAAAAATTAAGAACCAACGATAAATAAAAGAAATTAAAGAGCTATATTTTGACACCTGTGTCCTTTTTAAATATGTTGGGACTCACCTTGTGGGGGTCATAACACCTTGCATTTGAAGGATTTATGTCTGAGCAGCAGCAGTGAGTTGTACTTCCTGATAGAAAGTTTGGCAGCGGCGGACTGATATATGAGAAAATAGTCCCTCAACATGCGACGATTCATGCGATGCAAGGTTAGTTTTACTTCAAACATTATTCTATCAACACAGACATTCACATGGACAGTCTGGTGTAATAATAGATTTTGCTTCGGGTGTTTTGTGGAGTGGGTAAGACTGTTTTTAGTGACAGGATAACTATGGCCATTGACATGCACTAGTCTAGCACCAGTGACCTCTGCAAATACAAGGACCGGATGGAATATTTAAAAAAGTGTCTCCACACGTCTCCAACACTCTGGCTCACTAGGAAATGTGGTAAAATATGTCCAAAATTCCAAACTGTCCCTTTAAGGAGGTAACAACATTATAACACGGCTTAAAGCTCACAAGTGTCAATATAGTTTTCTTACTTAACTTTCTAGGATTTCTGGCTTCCTCCTCCTCTCTCTCTCTCTCTCTCTCTCTCTCTCTCTCTCTCTCTCTCTCTTTCTGTGTCTGACCCTTTCCCTCCGTCTCTCTCTCCTCGGTATAGCTCACTCCTCCTGGATAAACCCTAATAATCTCGCTCATTAGACAGTCTGATTAACACTACGTCACCCAAAGGAGAGGTATTATCCCAGTCTACAACCAGGAATAGAGCTGGACAGGGAGGCTGCATGTGTCCTGGGGTAATCCTGTCTTAAATACCCCCCGGGCTGAGGAAAGAAGGAGGGAGCAGAGAGAGGGGAGAGGTGCAAAGGAGGTAGAGATACAGTCCTCACCGTGGGACGTGCAGCTTCAGAGGTATCCGCAAACGGGACAGAGGCGGTAGGATACAGGAACTATGAACTTTGCGGCTCAGATCTTCTTCTCCAGATATCTGAACGAGAGACTGGAAAGGATCTTCTCGCCCAAACCTGCGCTCAGAGACAGAGAGGAGAATGACCCCTTCTGGCAGAGGTGGGACACTGCACCCAGTAGCTCCCAGTATCCACCCAAATCCTTTCAGAAATCCCCGTAAATCCTACAGCAACGATGAAAACTGTGGAGATGACAACTGGAAATAGACTAGGGATGCTTCAAACTTTTTCTGTTTTGATACCGTTGTTGATACTTTGGCTTTAAGTATCTGTCAATACCCGAAATCAACTAGAGAATATTATTTATTTCCTTTAAACACAAATGGCGTATGGTTAAATATTATCCAAATGTGTTTTGTATCTGTTATTTATCATATAGTAACTGCAGAACAGCTTTGAAAAATATTACGAGATGTTTTGGGCCAATATTGTCCAGTAATTTGTCATATTACACAAATTTCTAGACCAAAATCCGATATAAATGGAATCAATATTGACAAAACCGATATCTGATCTATCAACATTTTTAGTATTGGTGCATCCTTAAAATAAACCAATGCAATCGTGTTTATAACATTTCTTTCTGCAGGGTAAAGTAACTAGGTTTGTTAGGTAGAAATACTTAAATTATGTTAAATATTTTTCAAAATACTCTGAGTATTTGAGCTCACATGGTACTTTACACGCCCTCGGATTTAGACAGAAGATTTTTCTAACACCCAATCATCATTTTAAAAACATAATTTGACAAACAATAAGTTGTTTTTGTTTGTTTGAACGGCTAAGTATTTTCAAATTAAGACAATATTTCAAGTATTGTGAAGACAAAAGTGAGCATAATACTTAATAGGAATAATATCACTAAATAAGCATTGTCATACTCGATATAATTCCACCATTTATTTATTTTTATTTATTTATTTACACGACCTGGCCCCGGATAAAGTGGAAGAAAATGGATGGTTGGATGGATTATTTATTTATTTATGTATGTATGTTTATTTATTTATTTGTAAAGGCATCAACAGTGTCACAGCATCAGACATACAAGAAATTAAGGAAAAGGAGCAGAAAAAAGAGTCGCCTTGTGTTATATCTGCCCCATTTTCCGTTTTCAAGACAAAACATCAACACCGATAGTTACTTTAAAACATTTCAAAACAGAATATTTCAGTTCAGGCACATCTGAAATCTTAAATCATCTAATCTCGTCTCATTCAAAAGCCAATTCTGTATCTATACGTAATACCTTTATCTGATATTACATATAATAGACTGTTATGAGCTTTAAGTCTCAAACTCAGTTGGAGCAGAGGCTGAAGTTATGAAATCACTGTTGGTCACGGCCGCATATTATGTAACATATTATATACGTGACCCCTGACCAACATTTTTCATAACTTCAGCCTCAGCTCCAATATATGTGGTTCTTTTTAAGAGAAAGAGGCAATTAAAGAAGTAAAGCGAAAGTCCACAAACTAAAGATTTTGGAGCTTTACAGTAAAAAGTGCAATAATAGTATTAAAACTTAAGAACACAATTACAAACAATATAGTATGTTATTGTATTAAATGTGCTTATATCTTAAATTACCTTTCATAAAAATATACAGTATCTATTTTTTGTAGACTTGTTGACTTTTATTATTAGTGTAATTGTACGTAGTGTAAGTTTATTTTAAGGAATTTAATAGAAAATATTGTTTAATTTGCATCTTTGCCACAACTTTTCACCCAAAATAGACAGTTTCTCTTTGTTACTGCATTGTCCTGTGTGTATTTAAAATAAAAGTACACAAATCATCTCAAGTTTAAATTCAGGCATTGATCTGAAAAACTTTACATACTATCCTGTTACTAAGCCGTGGTTTAATTTGCAGTTTTGCCCTTCACTTTCTCTTCACTGATATGACTAAGCAGAGTTATTGTTGCAGTCCTCCTCCTCTCTCTGTTTTCTCTTTCTCTCCTTTTTTGAACTTTTTCCTTTAAACAAACTAATCCTGAACCTTCCTCTTTCACGACAAGGAGACCAGACTCAAACTATGGGGTCAGAGCTCACTGACATTACAGATTATTGTGGTAAAAATAGACATGGGCGCTGGTGTCTGGAGTGAATACAGTTATATTTAGAGTCAGAGCTCCTTCTTGTGGCCATGTGAGTAATAAGACAAACTGTATTTCCTCCATTTATCAGACGTAGTGTGCAGAGATGAGCATCAATATAATAACCAGGTCTACATTATTCTTAAATCTTCATTAATAAATATCTTATTAATGATGGTTCAGGTTTAGTAACTACTTAATTATGGTGTCAGGGTGAGGATAATGAAATAGTCAGAAAGTATTATGCTTGAATCATTCTTAAAGAGTCCATATTACGATATTTTCTAAAGTTATTATGTTGTTTCCTCATCGCAAATGTACCTGGAGTTGTGTTTTGTTTCATTCACACATGTTTTTTCACTATTATTATTATTATTATTTTATTTTAATTAATTTATTTATTTAATTTTTGTGTGTATTTTTATTTTTATTATTATTATTATATTTTTTTTTTTTTTTTTTTTTTGCTATTCTATGATTTTGCTCTTATTTTATTTTACTGGTTTTATTATTTTAAGACTAGTATGATTATTTTAGTAGTTTATTTGTTTAACACACAAATCCTGCATATTTAGGCTGAGTTCTTCTGAGTTTTTTAGGCTGAGTAGAAATTCCAGGCCTGAAATTATCCAAATGATTCAAGTGAAGATGAATGGAGTTTGGCAACACAGTTGAACACTTACTGTATTACCACATGACATTACAAGGCGGAACAGACAGGGTTCCCACGGTCATGGAAATCCTGGAAAAGACATGGAAATTGAAAATGTAATTTTCCTGGCCTGAAAATGTCATGGAATTCTATAAATTCAATGAAAGTTTTGGTAAAGTCATGGAATTTTAGTATCTCTTTCACGCAGCTCCACTCTTCGTTTCTTGTCTTTTAATCACATGGTTTGCTCATAATTCTGTTTGTTCCCTGAGGAAAGCCATAAACTTAAACGCATCGGGACTTTGTAAATTGTCCGTTAATACATGCCATAAATGAATAAAGGCATTTTATTTTAACTAGTGAGTCCCTTGGGTTTTTTGCATCTTTTTATGCATGGATTTGTGTTTTGTTTCATTCATGTTGAACACCCAAACCCTGCAGATTTACGAGTTCTTTTCTCAAACTGAAAACACTCAGTTCCACCTTTTGATGTCATTTGGTGATACAGAAAGTGCTCCACGGTGTTTTTAAACTCCACACACCTTCACTAGAATCATTTGGATCATTTCACCCATGGAATTGTCGATCTCTACTGATCTAAAGGTAAAAAAGTAGCTGTTAACTGGAAAACTACCACCACATGACATCATAAAGTGGAACAGAGCATTTTGCGCTGACTAATAATAATAAAGTGTTACTCAGACATGTGTGAATGAAACAAAACACAACTCTGAATATGTTTTTTTTATGAGATAACAACATTCCAACATGACTTGAAGCTCACAAGAGTAAATTTTGTGTCATATGGAACCTTTGGTAAACCATTTCTCTCTAAATTAATCACAATTATATTCTTGCAATCACAAATATAAAATTATTTAGACGTTGCATGCCCTTATGTGACTGCATGTTTTTATTATTACACAAAAAATAAATAAATACAAATTATACAAAGAATAACAAACAATAAAGTATACAGGACAGAGGGAGATAACACCAGGGTAGCCAAAGGTCACACATAATAAAAATTCAAGTTTACAAAAAAAAAAAAAAAAAAAGTATAAATTAAATGATTAAATTGCTTAAGGTCACACATAGCCAAAATTCAAGTCTACCAAAAAAAAAAAAAAAAAAAAAGATTTAAATTGCTCAAGAATTTCCAGGATTTTAACTGAATGTTTAAATTTTTATTTTTATTTTTTTTTTGTATTGAATTTCAGACAGGAAAATGAGAGAGTTTACAAATAATGCATTTACATTTATAGATCTGAATTTTTTCTAAGATAATGAACAGAATAATGATATAATATTGTTTACTTTTTGTGTGATGCATTTTGAAAAAAGCAAACAGCATGTCTTTAAAGGAAACAGTAAAGGGCTTTAGTATTCTCCTGTCAGTGATGTGTGTAGTGTGAGGTCAGGGGTTAAACACTGAAGCCTGATCCTGTTATTGTGTTTATGGAGCGTAAACATAAGCGTGAGATCTTAACCTGCTCTGCGGTCATCGAGGAACCACCGCTCAAGAACACACTGGACAACTGTTGGTGCATCTGTGAGGTTAGAGCTTTAGTTAAAGGTGAAATATTACATAAAATGGACTCTTGTTGTGAGCTTTAAGTCATGTTAGAATGTGGTTACCTCCTCATTATTAGTCTGTCCGCATCTCAAAAGCTTAAAATGCTTAAAGTGTTTTTCGTTTGAACTGAACTCAGCCTAAATATGCAGGATTTGTGTGTTAAACCTGTGCAAATGAAGCAAAACACAACTCCAGGTCTGTTTGTGATGAGGAAACAGTATAACTTTTATCAGAAAATAGCAATGTAAGATCTTTAAAAGCAAACTGTGCAGACGGATATGTTGGAATATTATCCCCAAAGGACCAACATTTCCTTGGAAACACGCAAGCCCTCCTCCAAGTCTAATAAGAGTCAGGTTTGTCCCGATGCAATCTGCTTATAATCAGGGTTTTAGTCTGTTTTTTTAGTAAAAAAGTGACATACATAGTAGTGTCTTAGTACTTGAGACCGTTTTTTTACGGGCTTGGTCTTGTCTTGGACTTGACCGTGTTTGGACTCGGCCTTGTCTCGGTCTTGTCTCAGTCTTGTAGGCTCTTGGACTCGGCCTTGTCTCGGTCTTGTCTCAGTCTTGTCTCGTTCTTGAAGGCACTTGGACTCGGTTTTGTCTCGGTCTTGAAGGTGCTTGGACTAGGTCTTGTCTCTATCTTGTCTCAGTCTTGAAGGCGCTTGGATATGGTCTTGTCTCAGTCTTGTCTCAGTCTTGTCTCTTTCTTGAATGTGCTTGGACTCAGTCTTGTCTCGGTCTTGAGGTCTGACACTCAACAAGTGATAAAAAGGAGACAGATTTATAAAAAACATTTATATATATGTCCCAAAATAACTATAAAATTCAAATAAATGTTGGAAATTACAAAGAAGGTCTCAATTTTGGTCTCGATGGGCTGTGGTCTCGGTTTTGTCTCAGTTTTGATCTTTAAATGTCTTGGTCTCAACTCTCGGAGGTCTTGGTCTTGTCTTGGTCTTGTCCTGGTCTTGGTCTCCACTAGTGCGGTCTTGTCTAAACACTAATACAGGACAGTATAGTAGTTGCACATTTTAATAGTCTTTCAAATTTTTTTTACCACCTGACCCACTCTTGCCCCAAATTGTTAAACATTACTCTCTGAAATTTCCACAAAACTGTTCCCAAGTGACTCTGCCAAACTCATAAAACTGTATTATTAGATGATTCACCACAAACCTATGGCCCAAAACTTGAAATTGTCTGCACTTTCACTTCACACCCACTCTGATCTCTGGAGTAAAACTTTTCTTAAGTTCTCTGACTCTGAGCAGCTATAAATCTCTGGTCCGCTGTCTGTTCGTTCACGTTAATGGTTTGTCCAGCGTCTTTAAATTAGGATGGATCTTGTGTGATCTGTCACCACGGCGACACTAAAGGTGACATCATTCATCTTTACCACTGCTACAGGGCTGACGTCAGGAGGCATTTTGTTTCACCGTGTACAGATTGTACAGCTTGAGGAATGGCTTGACGTGTTATCACAAGGTGAAACTGAGTGTCTTCTGTCTTTTAATGGAAATACAATGTTCAGCCTACAGAGGGCTTCATTTTTTAGACACCCTGAAAATCAAAGTGAAATAATGATTAAAATAATTTAGTTTCTGCATCTTAAAATGCTCCTAAATCTCTGGTGTGGCCCCCACGTGCATGTTTGCTTGTTTGACAGTGATGTGGCTCCTAATGAGATGATGGATGTTGTCTTATGGGACACACAGATCTGTGTGAGGGCATCACTGAGCTCCTGTACAGTTTGAGGACCAACCTGGAGGCATTTGATGGACTGAAACATAATGTCCCAGAGGTGTTGCATTTATTGCATCTAAGTCAGGTGATGGTGAGGGCTATTCATTTGTATGAATCCCTTCATCCTCTGGGTGCTGCCTGCAGACTTTTGCCACGTGAGTTTTTGTCGTGCATCAGGAGGAACCCAGGACCTACTGCACCAGCGTAGGCTCTGATCGTTGGTTCAAGGATTTCATTTCGATACCTAAAGCCAGTCAGACTGCTGTTTTCTAGCCGTTAGGTCTGTGTGTCCCTCCATGGATATGCCTCCCCAGACCATCACTGACCCACCACCAAAACCGCTCATGCTCCAACCATGCTGCAGGCAGCAGAGTGTTCTCCTCGTCTCCTCCAGACTCTTTCAAGTCTATCACAGGAGCTCAGGGTGAACCTACTCTTATCTGTGAGAAGCATAGGTAAGGAGTAACTGCTGGTCTCTTGAAATCTCCTCCATGTTCTGGAGGTTGTGCTGGGAGACACATTAAATCTCCTTACAACGGCATGTACGGATGTGCCAGCCTGGAGAAGTTGGACAATCTGCACAGTCTCTGTAGGGTGAAGAAATGGCCCTATACTCCCAGCAGAGATAATCACTGTAGTCAAAGCAGCACTAGTGGAAAAGCAGCCAAAAAAGACCAAGAAGGAGAAACTTGAAAGGACCTCCACATGCAAAACCAGTCCTGTTTTAGGGGTTGTCTCATTGGTGCCACTCCAGTACATCTACTGTTAATTTCCATTGAGAGAGGTGGTATCCTTTTGTGCCCTGTCCTTCTGATGTGTTTTCACAGTGTTCCTTTAAGTTTTTTGAGCAGTATATTACAAATCTTACTGTTAACCTAAATCCATCTAATCAATACTACTCACTCAGATTCTGTACATTACTAGTGTTTTTGAAGCTTGTTAAAACATTTTGACATGTGACAGAGATATTAAGCTGAGTGTTTAAAGTGTAATACTGTGTTCTTTTCCTCTGTGCTCTGAGCTCTTGACAGCTGCTGTGCTTTTGAATGAGCTCCTGCAGACGCGCTGTGACTAAGTGTCTGTCACAAACCCACTTCACTGTAACTGTGTGTGTATGTGTGTGTGTAACTGTGTGTAACTGTGTGTAAAGTGTGTGTAACTGTGTGTGTAAGTGTGTGTAACTGTGTGTGTAAGTGTGTGTGTAACTGTGTGTGTAAGTGTGTGTAAGTGTTTGTGCTCTGATTGAAACACACACCAGGCTATTACTGTCACTGACTCTTAAACAAATATGAGATTTTCAGATCAAAGGCCGCTGCTCCTGGTCTGGTTCTTTAATTAGGAGGCAGCGAATTTAAAGTGAAACCTTTGATTTTATTCAGCCCTGTTATGTGTTTGTATTACCTTTTTTTTCTCTTTTACCAACATTTAAAGGTGCTATATGTTACTTTTGTGGTGCATCTGGTCGTCTTCATTGAGATGTTATTGCCTTGAAAATACCAGTATATCTTGTTTTCATTCAATTACAGGTGATTTTTATGGCGCAAAAAAAACTTGAAAAACATTTATACAGTTAAAGGGCCCATGTTATGTTTTTCTCTGTTCAATGTCAAAATGTTGTTTCGATATGAAAACCTTAACTGAAGTTGTGTTTTGTTTCATTCAAAGATGTTTAACACACAAACCCTGCATATTTAGACTGAGTTCTGAGTTCTTTTTAGGCTGAGTAGAGATTGGCTACTGCCTAGTGCCCCCGCTCAATTTAATTTCTCTCCAGCGACTAGGTCAGGAATCAAATTACAATAGACTGTCTGCAAGAACCTGGAAGTGCAAGTCCAGGCATAAGCCAGTCAGCGAAGAGACAAATATTCTGTGTTGGCAACAATTCCTAAGATTGAGAATTTTAAGCTGGAACAAAAAGAATGTCTGGTGAATTTTATCAAGGGAAAAGACGTTGTTGTGCTTCTTCCTAAGAGATTTGGGAAAAGCTTAATATGCCAGTAAGTCCTGTTAGTGACACATTACGTACGTCACGACCAAGTAGCAGCGACTGGTTAAATTAAAAAGTACCCGCCTACCATTGAGTGAACGAATCCTAATGCTGCAAGGTCAGACGGTTTCCATGAAGTGCTGAAATTATCCAAATGATTCTAGTGAAGATGTGTGGAGTTTGGAAACACAGTTGAACACTTCCTGTATTACCACATGACATCACAAGGTGGAACAGACAGGGTAAATCTTATGAAAGTTTTGGAAAAGTCATAGGATTTTAGTATCTCTTTCACGCAACTACAGTGTTCTGTTAAGTTCTCATTAGACTGTTATGATTATTTCTGAACGTCTGCACCTTTTGTTTAAAAGAGACGATGACGAGACGAATTAAGCTGGCACCTGGTTTCTCTCCAGGCGACTGGTGAAGAGCCCAAACACCTGACCAATCCTGGACCTACACCTGCAGCACCAGAGCTATAAAAAGACCCGCCCCCTGCCACTCACGGCTGCTGTTCTGACTGTGTCTCTTGTGTTGCTCTGGTTAACTTTGGTTGAGACACTTGTAGTCCTTGTGACTTAATTTTGAGACCAGTTTTGTTTTTCTGTTATTGTCATTCATATACTCTGTTTTTGTAAGTCTACTTTTAGTTATACATTTTGCTACTCGGTTTAGAGTCTCCTTTTGTTTGTTTTACCTTTACACCTTTACAATTCTTTTAAATAAATTACAACTTTATTTTTTACCATTTTACATCTTGGTTATTTTTCTTCCCCTGTTCCTAGCCGAGCTGGGTCATAACAGATGACAATAAAATAAATGCACTGACATTATTTTTAATGTTAAAAACTGTAATACCAAACTATAAGATGAGTGGAAAGGATTAACATTTCATATTTAGCCCTAAAAGTCTGATCAATTCTACACATGTAGCTGCTGTAAAGTCATGGAAAATTCACTGTAGGTCATTGAAAAAGTTATGGAAAAGTTTAAAATTTTGTCCCTGAACAGAGCCTAAATATAATATACAGGATTTGTGAGTTAAACATGTGTGAATGAAACAAAACACAAGTCCAGGTCTGTTTGTGATGAGAAAATATTATAACTTAGATTAGGAAATGGCGTAATATGGACCCTTTAAAAGACTTGACTAAGGTTTGACGTCTTCTCACCGTATATAAATCCTCTATTATATGGTCTGGTTCTCATTTTTATACCCCGTCCCACAGAGAGGAGCTGCGTCTGGGCGCCTCTGCTCCGCCCTGTCACCCCGGCCAGCTCAGCAACGGCACCGCCCACCGCAGACCCACGCTGATAGAGCCCCACCGCCTCAGGGACTTCGGGGAAGAGGAGCAGGTGCTGAACGGGGAGGTCAAAGTTCACGAGACCACCGTCCTGGAGGGTCCACAGTTCCCCCTGATGATCCCGCCCAAAACCAGGAGGCGGAGTCAGTTCGTGTCCCCGCCCCCGGTGCAGTTCCTGAGGTTTGAGGACATCAGCGCGGCCGCCTTCAAGATCCAAAGCAGCATTCAGAAGACTCCGTGCACGGTAAAATGGCCACGCTTTATATAATATCTTACTCCATACTTATTTTTATTTTATTTTTACTTGTATATATACATTTATATACCTTTTTTGACCGCGGACTCTTGCCAATTTTGCTACTTACTTAGAATTTTTTCTCTTTGCTTTTATAAAATACTGTGATGTGTCCAAATAGTTTCCCTTATGGATCAATGAAGTTTGTTTAAGTCTAATTAAATCTATTATCACTGGTGGATGAAGTACTCAATTTTGTAAAATTGCAGATACAAAGGTAAAAAGTTACTCAAGTAAAAGTATCACATAAAAAATCTGAAAAGCATTTGTTTAAAAATGTACTTAAAGAGTAAAAAGTAAAAGTATTCTGCAGATTTTTAGAACTATTACAGGATGAAATGAGGTGATTTTCAAAAAGAATTAAGCAGATTTTAAGTGTTTCAACTGATTTCTTAATTTTTCTAGCCGGTTTTTGTGTATTTGGTTTGCTCAAAGTTGGGATGTTAACTCAAGTTAAAAATGTCCACGATTTCAGCAGGTCTCAAACCATAAAGAAAAGTACTTTTTACTTTTCAGTCCAGATCTAAAATGTAGTTGAAGTTAGGCATTAAGAAGGCTTTTATATTTTCATCCAAAGTGTTCTAGAGGCAATTTGGTCGTGACGTACAATATTTGGTGCTGCTATTTGGTCGTGACGTGTGTAATGTGCCATTAACGGGGCTATCTATTATATTAAGCTTTCCCTAAATCCTGTAGGAAGAAGGGCAATAACTTCTTTCCCCTTAATGAAATGCACCAAACATTCTCTTTGTTCCGGCTTTAAATCCTTGATTTTGGGAATCATTGCCAACACAGAATGAATGCCTCTTCACTGATTGGCTGGTGCCTGAACTTGCACTTCTAGGGTTCTTGCAAACCGTCTATTGTATTCTGATTCCTCACCTAGTCCCTGGAGAGAAATGAAATTGAGCGGAGGCACTAGGTGGCGCCAGCCTGGCTTAAGGGCAGAACTTGATCTGACCAGAAATAAAACCTCTTTCCGAGCCACTATCGCCCAAACCTTATCATTTAGCATCATGGATATATTTTAAAAAATATTTTTTTCACTAGTATGTTGCTGTGTGTTTGCAGTACTCCAGATTGTCCAAACAGTTCGGGATGGAGATCTACCTGAAGAAGGAGCATCTCCAATACACAGGCTCAGTGAAGGAGAGGGGAGCGCTCTATCTGCTCTCATCACTCACACAGGTAACAAAAGAGCATGTCTAAGTTTTTGGTTAGGGGTCATTGCTCTGCCTAGAATGTTCCACAGTATGACATTAAACAGCTCTACTTTACATTTACAGTGCAAAACATAACAACAAAATCTAGTCAAGTGAAGATGACTGGAATTAGGAAAGTTTTATCATGATTTGAGCAAATTTCACTTGACTTTTTGTACTTAAAATTTCAAAATACAACTACTCTACACTTAAAATAAGAAAAACAACTACTTTTTGCACTTAAAATGGGAAATAAAATCAAATGTTGCTGAAATTAAGTTGAATTGACTCAAATAAAGTAAAATGTTCTTAATTTAATTCATTTAAACTTATCTAGATATAGTTTTTTCCAGTGTAGAAGTTCAACAACAAAAGTTTGACACAACGCCACACATTTGAGTCAGATCTGTAGTCGACCCTTGACCCCTCACCTCATATAATCCTGGGCTGTGTTATGTTCCAGGACGAGCAGAGGAAAGGCGTGATCGTGGCCACAGACTGTAACTTCTCTCTGGCTGTGGCTCATCACGCGGTGGAGCTCAGGATCCCGGTGTTTGTGATCCTGCCGTCCGCCTGCTCCTCTCCACGGCTCCGGGTTTACAGGGACTACGGAGCCATGGTCATCTCGTACGGCAGCACCGCCCCAGAAGCTCAGAAACACGCTCGACACCTGGCCCAGGACAATCACTACCTCTACCTGGAGGAGTAAGGGACATGGGGTTTGCTTTAAAGGGGATGTTTTGGAGTTTGAACTTAGAGCTATACTAGATAGTTCTTACTCCCAGTTTAGTTCTAGTTTAATGTTTAGTCCTGGAGTAGTTTTTTAGCCTGTCATATATACGTTTTCTATAGCATAATTTTTTGATCTTCTGATTTATCTGGAGAGATCTTTTGAGTCCAAATGAAGAAACTGCAGCGTTAAAACTTCAAAATACCCAATACCCAAGGCAGACTTGGGCATAATACAGCCCAAATACAGATGCAGATTTGCTTTATTCGTACCCATAGGTAAATTTGTTTTGCAGATTTGAGAGGCTGGTCCCACATTTCACATTTCATTCATCCACATTATGAACAAAAACATGTATAAAAACATAATTACAAAATAAAGTGCGACAGTGCTGCAGTGCAGAAAGGCTTTGCTCCAAAAACAATTACTTAAATTCATCCATCACGCTTGGCTAAGATCACAATAAATATTAAATATATTAAAAAACACAAAATTTTTCCAAGACAACATACTAAAATTGAAAGATCAATAGATTGCAATTTATTCATTAGTACAACAGCAGCTGGAATGAAGCTCCTTTTAAAACGATTCATTCTAGATCTGAAACTCTGAGTTTACTGGATGTTCGTCTTTTAAAATACTCTGGGACATCCTCTGTAAGTGTGTTGAGTACAGGGAGTTCAGGCTCCTCTGAGGATGGGCAATCACATACAGTTCTTTGGCTGACTCCGACAAAATAAACAGTAGAGGTGTTTTTTTTTAATTACTTTTTTTTTTTTTAGGGAACCTCACTTTTTCATTGCTTAGTCATAACATAAACTTTACCAGTCTTACCAGCTCGTCAAAACAATGATATTTACTGCTTTTTATATAGAAATGCAATTAATTTTATGCAAAATTGAGTGAAGCATTTTGGCCTGGCCCTCCACAATATTTTCTCTTTCTTATGTGGCCCCATGGAAAAAATAATTTGCCCACCCCGGATTTAAGGATATTTCAAAAACTATAGTTTGGTGTAAAGATACAGTTTTTTTTTTTGTTTTTTTTTTTTTAAGATTTAAAGCCCCACCGTGTAACTTTATGTAAATTTACTAAAATAATTAAATCATTTTGGAATGAAGTGGATGTCTACACTGGAAGAATGAATGTGAATTATACTTGTTCAGTGTAAACTTTAGACATAGGGATGACATGACAGACTCACTCAAAATCTAAAGAAAACTCTGTGATGGGGTTGAATATTTCTACACGCATTTTGCATGTAGAAATATTCTAAATATAAATGTATCTATATAAAAACAAAAAAAATTTTTAAAATGGGAGTAACAGTGATTCACAAACGTCTACATATGTGACCTGATTAAACAGTGGCCGTGTGTTTGTGCTGCAGACATGAGAGTGAGGCGTACCTGGCCGGTCTGGGCACAGTGGGGCTGGAGATCCTGGAGCAGGTCTATAAAGTGGATGCAGTTCTGGTGCCCTCTGCTGGACACTACGGGCTGCTGGCCGGGACTGCTGCTGCCATCAAACACCTCAACCCACGAACCAAAGTCATAGTAAGAGACCAAGCACAAGACCACTGCCACAAACATGACTTCTGTTTATGTGTTTTCAGGTGGTACAGAATCATACATGCTAGTGCAATAGTTAAAGGTGCAATATGTCACTTTTCTGGAAGGAGGTCCACCACCTGCCTTTACCTCCACACATCAGACCAGTTACTTGGCCTGCTGGCTTGTCTCCACAGATACTGTGTAATATTCAACAGGAATTTTCAGGGCAAAGTAATCACATATCCACAGAGATGAGCAAAGCTCTCCTCTAAAAAGTTACACAGTGCACCCTGATGCTAACCAATTTGTACTTTTTGGGTAATTTAATGTTTAAAATTATTTATGAAGTTTAGTTTTGTTTTTAGACTGGTTGGAATTATATATGTGTATGTACATATACAGTATTTGCCCCAGACTGTGAATTACTGATGAATATGTACTGTATAGGAGAATTGTCTTTAATGTTATTTCTTTGTGCAACTATTAAAACTCACGCTTCTCTACATTCAATCTACACAACTACATTTAGGCTTAGATGCAACATCAAATGTTTAAACTAAAATAAGTACACAAAACCGCTCTTTCCACAGTTCTGTATTGTCTTAAATGAATCAAACACACAGACAGCACAGGTACAGAGACACACAGTCTGTTTGGAGCAGGACTGTGTGAAGACTTATTCCAAGCTCTGGTCTCGGCCTGTGGAGACACGAATAAAACATGATTTTAATATGATGATCTGCTCTGTGCTGTACACAAATGTTGTGATAGAACTTTTTACTCTGTGATACAGTAATGGAACAGTTCAGGACAGCATCACAGAAAATGCAGAAAGAATATTCAGCATACTCATAGTCATACTCACCATGTGATTTTCTTCAGGTTTTCCAATATGCATTTGGTAACAGGAAGGACACTTCAGAATGTTCCTCTTGCCACATCACCCTGTAGACACAAGTTATGACACTTTTTTCATTAGGAAATAATAGACCTGTTAAATAGACTTGAGTTGGTTCACTTACTGTGTTCATTTTTGTTTGCATTTTGGTGGTTCTTCAAGTCTTTCTGAAACAAATGCAGGGATTTTAATGTCTCACTTTAAAAAAAAAAAAATTTGACTGGCAAAAAACGGTGCTGCACAAAATCAGTAACTAACATCAACTATATCTCTTAGTTTACTACACAACTAGAGCAGAGCCTTGCATATCACTCTTTCATATTTCCAGACTGTGGAAGCAGTACGTGCAAAATGTCAATTCTCGCCTTCTTGTATATCAATTTGATTCATGCAAAAAGTTCTTCTTATATTAACCCGTTTCAAATAATGCAAACACAAACAAGTGCCAGAAAGTGTGTAAAATCTCTTTAGCACAGTTTCTATAGCCCTAAACAATAATTGAAATATTAACAAGTTACATATAAAATTATAAAAATTCTTCCTAATGTTTTCCTTCAGGGAGTTGAACCAGAAGGATTCCCACTGCTGCTTCAGTCTCTAAAAACAGACAGCCCAGTCCAAGACGTACAGAGTCACCCCAGCAGGAAACTCTACGGAGGTAAAGGGTCGATATTACACTATTTTCTGATCTATGTTATAATGTTGTCTCCTCATCACAGAGATAAGTGGAGTTTTGTTTTGTTTCATTCATACATTATTCATTATTTTGAGTTTTGGAGATGTAGACAAGATGACTCAAACATGTGTGAATGAAACAAAACACAAGTCTAAGTATGTTTTTATTGTGGTAACAACATTATAACCTGACTTAAAGCTCACAAGAGTTAATTTAATTTAAGATAGGACCTTTAATTAACTGAATATGTGATGTTTGGTCATGTGTTTTATATTTTCTCTTTTGTCCGCAGACCTCACAGAGCTTTCACTGGGAGAGAACACTTTTCAACTTTGCAAGAAATTTGTGGATAAAGTCCTTCCCGTCAGGTAGATTCTGAGTGCTTGTATTAAAGCTGCACTATGACACTTTCTGTAGACAGTCCCCAACCTGCTTGTCTCCATGGAAACGTTATTGTTTTGCCAGAAATATCCCACAGTATGGCAGATCTGTGGAAATTTGATCATGGTCAGGTGATTGGAGCAAAACCAATGGCTGCATCTGTATGAATGTAAGATTGATACTTTGCAGTGACATCACACTAGGTAGGGGTTTTCTACATGTATCTCTAATGGTGGAATGTTCAGCAGTTACCATGGTGACAGAATGGCGACAATTAGCAAACACTGTCAGGTCTGAAAAAAATACAAAAATGATTTAAACAACTCATTTTCAGGAGCCTGTGATCAGTCTGAGTGTTCATGGTTCTGTTTAGGTGTTTGATTTTCAACAAAAATTGGGTGACCAGATTTTCAAAATAAAAAACTGGAACCCAGTTTGGAATTTTTAGTAATAATAAAACTGTGAAAAGAGTGCGTAATTAAAGAAAACTGTTATGTACTCGGCCCATTCATGACTAACACATGAGTCAGTATAGTCACATTTTCTTTGTGTTTTGGTCATTTTGAAGCAGCTTTTCTATCGACGAGTACTATCTCTCTGGCTGAAGAACTGTATAGGTGTTAACTCGGATAATGATATTTGCTCTGGAGTGCAGGTCGGGACACAGGAGACGGGACGCAGATGGTAAAATTTAGGAAGCTTTAATGAAGCTGAGGCAGGAACATTATTATGGTTTTGTGATCTATAAAGAATAAACTACACAGTGATAAAGTAAAAGGTGTATTACTAAACAAACAATGACAAACATAAATAATAAACAGGGAGTGACTAAATAAGAGGCACAGAATAAAGACATAATATAACTATAAACCTGAGCTGACGGTAGACGACTGCACGCCCGAGTCTCGTGAACTAATTCAGACAGTGGTGCAGTGTGCTCTGAACTAAAGCATGCATTCACTCTCAGCACCTCTAGTGGGCGCTCCTTCCTAATAACCTACTGCCTTTCCAACATTTTCTGTATTTTACCAAAACAAATGACAATGTATGACTCTCTTTACTGTGGGCACGGATCAGATTTGTCAAAAATAGGGACACCAGGGACATTTCTTGTATAAAACTGGGACAAATCACTGGTTTTGGATAAATCTACTGGGACAGAGGACACAGGGCTCAAAACTGGGACTGTCCTGGGTAAATAGGGATGTCTAGTCACCCTATACAAAAAGGTGAAACTAAACCAGCTCTTTCTGTTCAGATTTTGTTCAACTAAACCTCAGACCCCCAGGGAAAACTGATGAGCTGCAAAGTATCGATTGAAAGGTTTAATGTTAATCCAGGAAAAACAAAAACATCTGTATGGAGACGAGCGGAAGAGTGACTCAGTGCAGACAATACCTTGATAAGAGTGTTGTGTTGTTTTCAGTGAGGAGGACTGTCTGGTGGCCATGCTGAGGTTTCAGGAGTTTGAGCGCTCCACAGTGGACACTGAAGCGGCGATGGGACTGGCAGCCATCATGACGGGGCAGCTGCCTGAACTCAAAGGGAATAGGTGAGAAGAGTTCTGTTTCAGAGACGTGCGTTGTGAAATGTAGGCTCTCAGTTGATTTTTCACTCTAGTTGGGTATAAAACTCAGCTGGTAAATGATCATAGGCTGTTAAAGGCTCTTGATTATGTCATACGACAAACCAACTTTGAGAATAGCAGCAATATTTCACCCTTTTAAACTGCTTTACTTTTTAAGCTTTTTGTCTGTAAAAAATAGAGTTCATGAATGCTTTTTCAATGGCTCTGATCCCAAATATGAACATCTGAAAACAGGAGCAGAATTCCAGTCATTCTTTGCATGTTACAAAATCAGGACTGAGTTGCTTTAACTTGTTTTAATGCAAAATATCACAACCATGATTTTTCAAGTATCCATCCATTCATTTTCTTCCGCTTATCCGGGGCCGGGTCGTGGGGGCAGCAGTGTAAGCAGGGACTTCCAGACTTTCTACACTCTGGACACTTCCTCCAGCTCCTCCGGGGGGATCCCGAGGCGTTCCCAGGCCAGCCGAGAGACATAGTCCCTCCATTGTGTCCTGGGTCTACCCCGGGGCCTCTTTCTGGTGGGACATGCCTGGAACAGGGAGGAGATGGCAGTGGCTCTACTCCGAGCTCCTCCAGTGTGACCCCTCCTCACCCTATCTCTAAGGGAGCGCCAAGCCACCCTGCGGAGGAAACTCATTTCAACCGTTTGTATCCGCGATTTCGTCCTTTCAGTCATTACCCAGAGCTCATGACTGTAGGTGAGGGGAGGAACGTAGACTGACCGGTAAATCGAGAGCTTTGCCATTTGGCTCAGCTCCCTCTTCACCACAATGGCTTGATACAGTGCCCACATCACTGCTGACGCTGCACCGATCTGTCTGTCAATCTCACACTCCATCCACCCCTCACTTGTGAACAAAACCCTGAGATACTTTCCGAGATCAGCTTCTCCAAATCCGAGGCCACGGTTCTTGACCGGAAAAAGGTGGCTTGGCCTCTGCGGGTTTGTCCCTGTCCCTGCCTCAAGTGGAGGACTTCAAGTATCTCAGGGTGTTTTTTCAAGTAAATAATGCATAATCCAATTGAACTTAATTGTGGTCCCCTAGTAATTAACAGAGCAAAACTGAAGCTCTTACTATCAAAATGCAAATTCCTGTCCAGTGAGAAGTTCAGTCTGCGTTGTGTGCATGTGTCTGTGTTCAGGGTGGCTGTGGTGGTGAGCAGCGCCAACATGGAGCTGGACCTGGTGCGTCAGTGTATGGAGCGGGCTCTGGTTCTGGACGATCGGGTCAGTAAGTTCTCCGTGCACATCGGGGAGTGGCCCGGAGACATGGCCAAACTACTGGACACCCTGTCTCGAGAGGACGTCAGGTGGGTGTGAAAGGAGATATTGAAAATGTAAAGATCTAAAACCACCAAATAATAATGTGTTCTTCATCAAGACACATTTTAAATTCAAGTCAGCTGATTCTAATATCTGATTTTGCTGTCGTTTTAACCTAAATGTTAAAACATTCCTGTGATATTTCTCAAACTTGTACCTTTCTGCGTTCAGGCTGCTGGACGTGTGTCATCGGAGTCACGGAGACAAGTGTGACCTCTTTAAAACAAAAGTAACGGACTCACTCTTATTTATACAGTATAAATATTTGAACATCTTTGTAAATACTGTGAGTGAGTGACTGTGTTTTGGTTTGTGCAGGTGGAGTGTGTGGTGGAGACTCGAGACAGAGCTCAGAGCACACAACTACGAAAGACCCTGAGTGAGCGCTATCCTTCTGTGACCTGGCTGGAACGGTGATAGGAACAAGATCAGAAACAGCGATGCCAATAGAAAACCAACTACGACATGAAACGAACTGGTACCAACAGCGTCAGAAGCAGTATTGTGTTGTACGTGCCACTGAGAATCAAAGAATATGCAATGGACCAGCAAACGAAGATGGAAGAGTATCATTAAAGGGAAAATATTATACCATTTTCTTACCAGTTTTGTAATGTCTCCTCATCAAAAACAGACCTGGAGTTTTGTTTTCTTTCATTCACACGTTTAACACATAAACCTGCATATAAGCTCTGTTCCACCTTGCTCCACTGTGTTTTTAAACTCCATACACCTTCACTAGTATGATCATTTCAGCCCTAGAATTTCTAATCTGTGCTGGTAAAAGGTAGCTTGAACTAGAAAACTGCAGAGCATTTTGAGCTTTGGAGATGTGGACAGAATAATAATAAAGATTTACTCAAACGTGTGAATGAAACAAAAACTCCAGGGGGGTATTCCGTCAAAGTGGCTTAACAAATAACCAGGTTTATCCAGAAATCCCAAGCTGAATCTAGCTCCATCTTTAGTTTAAGCCTCAACTTTTTCCAGAAATAAGAAATAAGCCTGTGTCTGACCAAAGATAACTCAGACCTGAAGTTAAAGCTGTGCTCGTGGCCAAATGATGAGCTAGAAATTTGATGTTGTTTTTATGATCTGACTAAACGAGAGGAGCCAGCGCTTGCACGGACAAGAGTTTGATTTGTTACAGTAAAAGTCTGAAGTGACATTCGGCTATAAATGTTACTTTTTAAACTGTATCAGACGGAGACAGATGTTCTGACAAAGGTGTGTGACTGCACATGCTGAAACTTTGGACTAAACTCTTTCTTGGAGACGGAGCTAAAATAATCTTGACAGTTAGTCTGGTCCTGACCGGGTTTTCTGAGGCCTTGATAAGCCTGGATGGGCCAAATAAGCCAAGGTTTCTCTTTAGGTCACTTCGTGGAATACTCGCCAGGTATGTTTTTGAGGAGGTGACAACATTTTACCATGACTAAAATCTCACAAGAATCAATTTTGGGTAATATAGGACCTTCAAAGATGCACTAAGTAACTTTTCTTGCAGAGGGATGTCATTGTTTGTCCTTGAATGTTCCAGTCAGTGTTGGGTAGTAACCGAATACATGTACTGAGAATACATACTCTGATTATTAAACATTTCAAAGCATTGCTCTTATAGTGTGTGCAGCGTGTGCCATTATTCCTCCTGTAATTAGGAAATGCATAACAAACAAGCGATAAACATGAAGCAAAAAGTTTTCAATCTTTTTCCAATTCTTTACATTATAATGTATGTGCAACTCAATGTAAAAGTATTGTAAGTATTCAGAATACAGTAATCTGATTGGACCATGTATCAAAATATATTTCTAGGTATTGTTGAGCAATAAAACCACCTGTAATTGAGTACATGTAATGAGCTGTTTAATGTCATACTGTGGAACATTCCAGGCATAATGTAAACCCGACGTGTCCAGTCATGTTCAAAGTCTATTCTTCCAAAGTCACAGCTCTCTCCAGACACAATCTACAAGTTAAAGTTCTTATTTTGTATATATACTGTATGTCCTGTCATTAAAGTTGATCATATCTGACTCAGAGTGGTGAGTGATTTTGTTTTTGAGATGAAGTCAGAGTTGTTTAACTCGTGCTTGTCTTCTGCTTTATGTTTGTATAGGGTGACCAGTTGTCCGTTTACTCGTTACAATACCAGTTTTGAGCCCTGTGTCTCCTGTCCCAGCAGATTCATCCAAAACCAGTGATTTGTCCCAGTTTTATACAGGAAAAGTCCCAGCTGTCCCTACTTTTGACCAATTTGATCCCTGCCAACAGTAAAGAGAGGCAAAAAGAGAGTCATTTGTTTAAGTAAATTACACAAAAGCTGCTTAAAAATTACCAGAACACAAAGAAAATGTGACTATACTGACTCGCATGTTCGTCATGAATGGGCCGAGTGCAGAACAATTTTCCTTAATTACTATTATATTAATTATTACCTACCACCACAAACCGGGGGTGTAGCCGTTTTTAATTTTGAAAAACTGAAAAACTCACTCTATGTTTCTGGAAAGTTCAAGCTAAGACTGAGCTGTTTAAAGTAGATTAAAGGGTCTGTACCAGATTCCTGTTTATTTGAGCAAACTTCCTTGTATAAGCAGCTCTCGATCAAAATAAGTTCACCGTGTACCCTCTGCATCTCATTTTAAAGTGTTTAATTGTATGATCACTTTTTGGTTGATGGTTCTTTACCTGCTTGTTTCTATGGAGATGTCATTGCTCTGCTAAGAATGTTCCACAGTGTGACATTAAACAGATCTACTTTACATTTATTCAATTACAGGCGGCTTTATTGCTCCAAAATGCTTAGAAAAACAGGCATTCTGACTGTGAGCGGGGTCGCCTCTCCACAGATCTGAACTGTAACTTGGTCTGGTTTGGTCTCCGTGAAGCTAGAAAGGTTTAATGCCACACTGTGAAACATTCCAGACAAAGCAATAACATCTCCATGAAGAAAAGGATTTGACAGACCCTCCACAAGAAAAATGCACCCGTAAAGTCATTAAAGTGAATAATTAGGATGCGTGTTGTGAGGAAAAACTTGGAGAAACTGTTTAAAATCAACTATTTTAAAGGTACAGAGCCTTTATCCTCCTTAGTCCCATAAGCGCAGGGCACACAGGTTTACAAATGGGAGAAAAAAAAATCATTATCACGATTATTTTGGTCAATAATGAAATCACAATCATTCAAACGATTATTTTTTTTAGTGAGACGATGAATTTATTCAGCATTTCTCTCTCAAAAAACCCACGTGTTATTGATAATTTAGGCAAAACTTTAAAACTGAAAATAAATACAGGCTACAAATATGTACCTTCTTTGAACATGAAATAAGGCATAGACATTCACATTGACAGTCTGGCGTTATAATAGATTTACTTCGGGTGTTTTGTGGAATGGGTAAGACTGTTTTTAGTGGCCATTGACACACCAGCGACCTCTGCAAATACAAGGACTGGATGGAATATTTTTTTTAAAATTGTCTCCACGTCTCCAACACTCTGGACACTCCAAAATTCCTTTTGTCCCTTTAACAGCTCTACTATACACAGCTATTCATCTGAGGTCCGCTGCGAGTGTTCATATTTTTAAAAGTAAACTCAAAACGTATCTTTTTAATTTAGCTTTTAATTGAAAGTTTTATCAGTTTTAACTTAAATTATTATTATTATTACTATTATTATATTTATTCTAAATTAAATTATCATTACTGTTTTACTTTGTCTCCATTTGATTTTAGCTCTCCATTTAGATTTTTATTATAACCTTTAGGAGCTTTATGTTTTTGTTTTTATGTTTATGTTTAAATTGTTGTATATATGGATGAAACAATGGGGTGGGGGGTTGCTGTTGTTTTTAATTATTGTATTGTAATTTTTCTGTTGCATGTGAAGCACTTTGTCCTACATTTCAAATGTATGAAAAGTGCTATACAAATAAAGTTTGATTGATTGATTGATTGATTCAGGTCCAAATAAGACCACTGTGAACCGTAGACTGAATAAAGAAGTGGACTGAGGGAGTGTGATGTCACCTGTAGTGCTCGTCTCCAGTCACATGAAGCTCTTGCACCGCCGGTTTAGCAGGGAGCGGGTGCCAACGGGAGCGACCTCAGGGAAAGGAGGAGTCCTGATTTGTCAACTAATGGAGGGAGAGTAAATTCAGCCCGGAAGACTTCACATCGCCTCTCCGTTTCTCCAGAGTTTACCTGCTCCTCAGCCTTCATCGCCTCACTCCAAATACTCCTTCTTCATCCAATAAACGTTGATCTAATTCAATATTTTTCTATGATTAAAGTAAGATACATTAATCAACAAAACGTATTTCAGTGTAAGTTTAAAGTTTTATTTTCACTTCACCCAGTATCCACTCCAATGAAATCAAAACACTTTCATAAATTCATTTCTTACATAAAAAAAGCACCGCGTTCCCAAACCCATCGCCTGTCGTGTAAACTGAAAACCGTTGCATATTAACATCAGTCACAACTACTGATCATAACATAAGCAATAAATTCCTTCAAATATATTAACAGTATTTAAAAATAATTGTAAGAAAAATACTTGGAATGAAATCTGCTGAAACGTTATTAGAAAAGTTAAAGAGTTTTTTGTGTTAGTGTGTAAGGCAGAGGTGATTGTTCCTGGTTTGTGTAGTTTGTGTGTTATTGTGTCGTTTGTGTGTTATTGTGTCGTTTGTGTGTTATTGTGTCGTTTGTGTGTTATTGTGTCGTTTGTGTGTTATTGTGTAGTTTGTCTGTTATTGTGTAGTTTGTCTGTTATTGTGTAGTTTGTGTGTTATTGTGTAGTTTGTGTGTTATTGTGTAGTTTGTGTGTTATTGTGTAGTTTGTGTGTTATTGTGTCGTTTGTGTGTTTTGTGTGTTATTGTGTAGTTTGTGTGTTATTGTGTAGTTTGTGTGTTATTGTGTAGGGGGCGCTGTCTGGGGGAGTCAGTGGTGTTTGGGGCGTTTGGGGTCAAACTTGAGGAGGATGCCGAGAGACGCGAATCCAAACAGGAAGGTCTGACCGAACCAAAGCAGGCGAGCGGTCAGGCCGTGGATCCCTTTGTCACTGCAACAGAAAAAGAAAGACACTTATCAATATCAAAATATATATACAAGACAAGACAAAGACACCCAAAGCACTTTACAGTTTGTTTGTTTGTGTTTTTTTGCCACTGGCAAAAAAAAAGTCCTGGGTCAGTCCTGGGTCAGTCCTAGTGTAGTCCTAGTGTAGTCCTAGTGTAGTCCTGGTGTAGTCCTGGTGTAGTCCTGGTGTAGTCCTGGTAGTGTAGTCCTGTATACTCCTAGTGTCCTAGTGTAGTCCTGGTGTAGTCCTGGTGTAGTCCTGGTGTAGTCCTGGTGTAGTCTGGTGTAGTCCTGGTGTAGTCCTGGTGTAGTCCTGGTGTAGTTCTGTGTAGTCCTGGTACTCCTGGTGTAGTCCTAGTGTAGTCCTGGTATAGTCCTGGTAGTCCTGGTAGTCCTGGTGTAGTCCTGGTGTAGTCCTAGTGTAGTCCTGTGTAGTCCTAGGTTAGTCCTGGTTCAGTCCTGGTTCAGTCCTGGTTCAGTCCTGGTTCAGTCCTGGTTCAGTCCTGGTTCAGTCCTGGATTAGTCCTGGATTAGTCCTGGATTAGTCCTGGTTTAGTCCTGGTTTAGTCCTGGTTCAGTCCTGGTTCAGTCCTGGTTCAGTCCTGGTTTAGTCCTGGTTCAGTCCTGGTTCAGTCCTGGTTCAGTCCTGTTCAGTCCTGTTCAGTCATTAGTCCTGGATTAGTCCTGGTTTAGTCCTGGTTTAGTCCTGGTTCAGTCCTACAGTAGTCACCTAGTCCTTTGTCTCAACCTTCAGTAATAATAAATCTTTTCTCGTAACTGATTTTGAAATGTTAATTCCTAAAACACTTTGATTTCTATGTTTCTATGTTGAGTTTTATGTTTTCTTAGACATTTGTATGGAGAATAATAGTCGGATAAAATTACAACAGCTCCCTCTGCTGGACAGAGGCCTTACCTGCAAACCTTCTGTGAATACACTGCCTCAAAGACGTGGATCGCAAAGGCAGCCCACCATCTGAAAAAACATTCAAATGATTAATATCCCAAACAAACAGTGAAGTGAAACTTGCATAATTAATGTAACAACAGCTTATGCCAAAGTCAAAGTCAATTTACAATAAACTGTGAATATCTAATTCCATCAAAGCCTCAACAGCTCTTTCCTCCAGAAGTCATGTGATCTACTGGACTTGGGATTTGCATTTGAGCGTCAGCAACGATGTGTGAACGAGGCGACTCCTTAGTGCAATAATGTTTCAAATGCAATGTGAATGACAGCTGTTAGCACATGATTAATGTTCAAATAACTAACAGGAAACCTTGTACTGTTTCAGGAAATGCCTTTGTGGTCTATAGATCAACTTTTGTAACTTAGAAAACACTATGTATTAAAAGGGCTGCACAAATGAATCTAAATCAAAAGGAAATAGTTTGTCTAAGGCAAACAACAAAATCCAGAGTCTTTTGATGGTCAATACTAACGGGTGTGCAAAAACGTGTATAGTTTAAAGTAATGATACAGTATCGATATCGTGGGCTGCTGTATCGATATATCACCAAGAGGATTTTTTGTACAGTTTATTTTGTTACAGCGCTACAGTTTTGTTGCTTGTTTAGAGGAAAGAAAACTCGTTTATGCGACACATTTGACATTTTCACTGTTTTGATGATTAATATGTTTGTGTTTCATATGAACTCTGCTCAAGAAGTGGTTTAACAAAGACTTTTAGTATCACAGCCATGATTTAGCCTTTATTTTTTAGTCAACCGTATCAAAATGATTTGAAATACATTGTATCAAACCAAAAGTGCACTGTATCTAGGGATTATATGAATATATTTTTTCTTGTCTGAATGGTGCCACACTTTCTTAAAGGTCCAATATTATGCAAAATTGACTCATGTGATCTTTAATTCATGTTAAAATGCTGTTACCTCATCAAAAACATACCCAGAGTTGTGTTTAATTTCATTCACACATGTTTGAGTAACGCTGGACATGCAGGTTTGCTATGTCCATTTTTATATACAGTCTATGCATTTGGAGGAAGACATTTGGCTTCTGTTAAAGTCTGAACTCTGCTCCAAACCACACGCTTTTACTGACATGGCAAGAGGAAGTAACATAACAAGAAGGGAGAGGGAAAACAAATATGACTGAATGATTCTGCATTTTTCATTTTAAATGAACCAAACTCACTGTGGAAAAAAGCTTAAAATATCAGAATAATATCATTATCGCAGTATAAAACATAGTAATCGAATATTGTATCTTTTTCTCACGTCGTGCAGCTTTAGTACATAAGACTCACCCTTTGTACAGGATATCAGCGTGGTTATCCACCAGGTATTTGGTGAAAGTGCCAAATGGGCCCAGTTTATCGTAGGGGATCACCTCTGGAGCGTACACGGTGCACTGGAACAGAAACATGTCCATTAACACAGCAATTTACAGTTTATTTACACATGTTCAGTCATAAGAAAATACAGTTTTAGAATAAATGTTTACAAATATTAACCCATTGCCACTGTATGATAATTACAAATGAATTAGCCTCAATAAAGAAAGAACAAAACTTAATTCAAAATGAACAAATAGTTGTAGATAAGCTTAGTAAGTACTTAATTAAAGGGTAAAACTTGCTCTGTTTTGCATTTCATCACTAAAATGTTAAAATACAATACTCTAACATGGTAGTAGAAGGGCTGGGATTAGAATTAAATCAAAATAGACAGCAATCATTTTAGTCTTTTCATCTGAAAAGTCTGTAGTTTAGAGCTTTATGAACATGCTCTGAAATGCATGTCGTTGTTGTATTAGTTTAGCCGTTCATATTTCAATATTTACTCAAATATTAACGCTTCTGGACAAAGTTTGTCTGAAAAATTGCAATTACAAATATTACCAGAATCATTCATCTATAGTTAAAAGCAAAAAGCAATCACAGTGGTAGAACACTAACTCTAACAACAAATAAAATGTTAAAGACTAAATCTGGTGGTTAATCTGTTCCCAGCCCTCGGGAAAAAGTTAAATACCAAAAGTCCCCTGCTGGATTTTGGTTTTATCACATGAATGTTGCACTGGTTTCCACAATTTGTGGGTCCAGATCACATGACACTCGTTATGTTAAGGTCACGATTCATTTGAAACATGATCTTTAAACGTAGAAGCAGTATCCCAAAGTAAAGGCACATTTCAGAAATAGGCCTTTAGTTGTTTAGTCGATTAATTGAATCTATTAATACATTTATTTAGACTGAGGATTTATATGGGAAAACAACAGGAAGGAGAAGTTAGTGAGTGAGTGACTTGTAGATTTGGTATTTTGGGTGTTTAAAACTCATGATTAAAACTCATGATTCACAAGTTTCAAGTGACTTTGACTAAAATATAAGATCGTTATATTTAAGAAAAAAAAAGTTTGTCTAGTTTGATTATTATTTAAGAAAACACCTAAATTATGCCGAACTTTTGGATAGAATTGTCCTTTTGTAATGTCATCGATTTGTTTTCAAAATCCTCAACATATTTTTCAACTTTTCTTCACAGATTGCTTCTTGATTTGCAGAGAGAATCATCAAAACATGTAGGCATAGGCACTTTAATCTGTTTTTATATAAATACAAGGTGTGAGTAGTAAGATTGTGAGTGAAGTTTGGGTTTTGAGAGCTTTGCCAAGGCCCCCGTGTTTAGTCCATCTTCACGTTATTGGGTTCTGTTTTCATCCCATCATACATGTTACAAACTCTTGGTCTGAAAAAGAAACCAATAACATAAATTATCAGAAGAACAAATGAACCTCATCTGACTAGTCCAACTTCAGTCGACTAAAAATTTCTTGAATCCACTACAGCCCTAATTTTGAGAGCCGTGATGTGTCGCCAGTGCGGCTCGGAGCCTCACGCTGCTTTGTCAGACTAAACAAACATGTAGGTCCAATGTGTCCATGTGTTAAACAAAAGCCTCTGAACACACTGTGCTGCTGTTTATGTACGGTTAAATGTCAAAAACAGATTCGTCCTGGATAGGGGTGTGCATAAATATCGATATATCGTATTGTTTAATGTGATGGCACAGTATCGATATCGTGGGCTGCTGTATCGATATATCGCCAAGAGTATTTTTTGGTGTATTTTATTACTACAGTTTTGTTGCTTGTTCAGAGGAAGGAAACTCATTTGTGCAACACATTTGACATTTTCACTGTTTTGATGATTAAAATGTTTGTGTTTCATTTGAACTTTGCACAAGAAGTGGTTTAACAAAGACTTTTAGAATCACAGCCATGATTTAGCCTTTATTTTTTATTGGATCGTATCGAATGGATTTGAAGTATATCGTACTGAATCGAAAGCTCGCTCTATTAAAATTAGGGATGGGTATAATTAAGAAGTTGCCAATACAACACATATCTCGATACAGTGATGTTTTGATACGATTCGATACGATACATTTCTAATCGATTTGATACAGTTCAATAAAAATAATGGCTAAATGATGGCTGTGATAATAAAAGTCTTTATTAAACCACTTCTTGAGCAAAGTTCCTATGAAATGCATCCATTTTAATCCTTAAAACTGTGAAAATGTCAAATGTGTCGCATAAATGAGTTTCCTTTCACTAAACAAGCAAAAAAAACTGTAGCTCTGTAACAAAATAATTAAGTAAAATACAACAAAAATACTCTTGGTGATATATCGATACAGCAGCCCACGATATTGATACTGTATCATCACATTAAACAATACGATATATCGATATTTTTGCACATCCCAAATTGAGATATGTATCGCAATCGTATCGGCAACTTCTTAATAATACCCAGCCCTACTCCTGGATACAAACACAGTAATGATGAACGACATATCATAACGACCCTGTTATGTAGGAATAACGTAGGCTCTGGGGAAACGCCAGAATATTCTAGCAGGTTTCGTGAGGGAAAATAACAGGGAGGAAAGGAAGGAAATCAAATGTAAAAGTTAAGTATTCTTTTCATTGACAAACAGAATGAAAGAGCATTTCAATTAAGTTAATTTAGACTACTACTATGATTAGAAAACCATAATATCAGGTAAGCTAAAGCACTGCCTTCTCTTTTCAAAGCAGAGCTGTAATTATAATACATTTTGAAGCCTGATATATTGCTATAGAGATACAGCTACTGCAATAAACAATAATATTAAAGCTATTTTATGTTACTGACACAATAACAATCAAGCAGATCAATGCCAGTAAACACATCATTAAAAAGCATGAGCAGCAACAAAGGTATAGCAGAAGTAAGTAGGAGTGTAACGATATCCAAGTCTCACGATACGATATTTATTGCGATATCGTGGGAAAGTTCACGATATGTTTGGGAGGCTCACGATAAGGGGTGTAACAATATCTAACTCTCACGGTACGATATTTATTGCGATATTTTGTGGAGGCTAAAAAGCTCAAACTGTTAATATGCTACTTTTTCCTCTTAAAATGCCTTGACAAGACTTAAGAGTGCTTAGAACTGTTATTTCTTATTGTAGTCTGCACTGAAATGGAGCAAAGGATCATGGTCTATGTAGTCCTCTCCGTCTTTTTTTTTTTTTTTTTTTTTAATCTATTGCTGCACTATAACTCTTCATTTAAGCAAAGAAACATGTAATTTGATGTATTGTGATGGTCCACGATATTATTGTGAGAACTTTGACGATACGATATCACGATATTTTGGTTATTGTTACGTCCTTAGAATTAAGCAATAATAATAATTAGTCATATAAGTTATATTTTCAACACTGTACAGCTTTTTTGGTATTACATAAAATAAATAAATAAAATCTTCCCACTACTGCAAAGAAAAATTACAGAACATAAATACTGAGCTCCAAAATCGATACAGATATTATTTATTAAACTAGTACAAGTCGATATCGTAATTATCAGGAGAGGCTGTGCCATACGCGTATTGGTGAACAATTATAACAATACTACATGTTAATTATTATTAACAAAATGCATGAAAAGTTGTTTTTAATTAAAGATAAGATCAGGTTATCAATATTTATGAGCGTACTTTGACCTGTTGCCTAGTTACACACATTTGCACGTTTACTTCGGGCTCATCGTCACTTAAACCGAGCTCGTTCATATAAAATAAAAATATATATACAATTATTATTTGTATTACGATGTGTATAGATAAAAAAAATTGAAAATAGCAAACAATGACCAGCAATTTGTGTCTAAAAAGTGCATTCGTGGCGTCAACTCTCTAACCGGACGCTATTTGTTGCGACACCACCTGGAGCAAAGTGGAGATGATGAGCGAAACTCTTCACTCGATTTAATCCTCACGCGTTTAAAATGATAAACTTACGGTGAAAAAGCCCATAGACACTGTAACAACGCTCATCCAAAACACACTGGATCTCCTGAAGTAGTTCGTTACATCGCTTTTAGCCATGTCTGCTGCTGCGGTGGAGTCGGCGCCGAGCTGCTGGTGTCGCAGTCAAATGTGACCGGGTAACTCACAACAGCCAAACCTGCACAGACACAGAGGCTGGACTGTGTTAAAATGACTCTGTGTGAAACTCTAAACACGATGAGGAGCAGTGTTGGGAAGGTTACTTTTAAAACATATTCCCCTACAGATTACATAGTCCAAAATGTAGTTTGTAACATAATCCATTAAATTACTTAAAGTGAGTAATGTAATCTGAATACTTTGGATTACTTGATTTGCTGTAGAGAAGCAAAGACCAGGATACTTAAAAATATTATTGATAGAAGAGGAGGAGACATGTCCGCGCAGCATGGATTAGTCCTGTTAAATCCTGTTTTAGTCCTGTTTTAGTCCTGGCTTAGATCTAGTTTAGACCTGGTTTTAGTCTTGGTTTAGACCTGGTTTAGACCTGGTTTTAGTCCTGGTTTAGATCTAGTTTAGACCTAGTTTTAGTCCTGGTTTAGATCTAGTTTAGACCTGGTTTAGACCTGGTTTTAGTCCTGGTTTAGATCTAGTTTAGACCTAGTTTTAGTCCTGGTTTAGACCTGGTTTAGATCTAGTTTAGATCTAGTTTAGACCTGGTTTTAGTCCTGGTTTAGATCTAGTTTAGATCTAGTTTAGACCTGGTTTTAGTCCTGGTTTAGATCTAGTTTAGACCTAGTTTTAGTCCTGGTTTAGACCTGGTTTAGATCTAGTTTAGATCTACTTTAGACCTGGTTTTAGTCCTAGTTTAGTCCTGGTTTAAACCTGGTTTAGATGTAGTTTAGATCTGGGTTTAGTCCTGCTTTAGTCCTGGTTTAGACCTGGTTTAGATCTAGTTTAGACCTGGTTTTAGTCCTGGTTTAGATCTAGTTTAGACTTAGTTTTAGTCCTGGTTTAGACCTGGTTTAGATCTAGTTTAGATCTACTTTAGACCTGGTTTTAGTCCTGGTTTAGTCCTGGTTTAAACCTGGTTTAGATGTAGTTTAGATCTGGGTTTAGTCCTGCTTTAGTCCTGGTTTAGACCTGGTTTAGTCCTGGTTTAGACCTGGTTTAGTTTCCAGCAATGAGTGGAATTATATTATATTTTATTATATATAATATTATAAAATAATAATAATAATGTGAAAACAGGAAAATACCACCATGTAATCCACTTATTTTAACAAAGTAACTGTAATCCAATTACCACTCACTGAAACAGTAACTGTAACCGAATACAGTTACTCATAATTTGTACTCTGATTACATACCTCCGGTACATGTAATCTGTTACTCCCCAACGCTGATGAGGAGGCTCCAGAGTCAAATAATGAAAAGTAGTAGTGAGTTAAGTAAGTAATAGTAACGTTACTTTAAAATAATATTACTCAAGCAGAAGTACAAAGTAGTGATCCAAGAAATAAATTAAGAGTTTAAAAAAAGTAGGTAAAGTGGGAAAAGTAAGCCTACTACTCAAACTATGTAAACATGCTGCTAGAAAAGTACAATTTCTTTAAAAAAAAAAAAAAAAAGTTATATAAGTAAGAAAATGTCACTAGATGTACTTCCCTTCTCTGGTTATTATGTTAGTATGTCTGGTTGCTATGCAGAGGCACAATGGACTGATGGAATGAAATTCACTTAATCAGATAAACATTCCTCTGTGTGACCAGCTTTATGAAATTAAACTGCCTGAATGATAAAGTGAAGTAAATGGGACAGAAACAAACACAGAAACAGTGATATTACTACTACTGTGTCTCCAAACTGTAATGTTTCAGTGAACGCTCCACAGTTTATGATAATGAGCAGACAAATGTTCACTTCAAATAAAACAGACCTATCCCTGTTCAGTGAGCCTGTGTCAGATTTTATCTCTGGTTGTTTTCCCTGCAGCACTGTAACTCTGTCACAGACATTCAGGGTGTGTTTGTGTTTGGTTTGTTCCCAGTCTAGTCCAGTCCTGTTCAAGTCCAGGTTTAATTACGTGTGTGTGTTAATGTGTGAATGCAAAGAACCTTTCCCTTTAAATTTGATGAATTAATAACGTTTGTTTGTGAAAGTGCAAATCCCAACGACGCCCTGTGATTTCACATTTGGCTGTGTTCCCTGTGAGCTAAGCCACTCAAGGCAAATGTCTATGTTATGCAGGTTCTACATCTAAACTAACTTGATTAAGAAGTTATTAAAATTATGAATTAAGGCAGTGAGTCCCAACCTTTTGTCGTGATCACCCTAAGCATTGTCTAATAATTACATCCTCCGCTCATACATACAATATGTGCAAGAAAATACATGATAAACGATAAAACTGAAACTAATTTACGCCACTAAAGCAAGATAATCCCCAAAACATATTCCACAATGTTGTTAAAAAACAGGAAAAAATATGTTCCTCACTGTACTACTAACAGGGATGGGAAGAATACTTTGAAAATGTTATGAGTTAAACAATCAATGAACAACTTTATTAATCCCAAAGGTTCTCTGGTTGTGCTAAAAAATAAATAAAAATCATGTACATGCAACACACACCATACATCAAACCTCAGTGCATTAGGGACACATAAATACACACATTTACTTTCCATTTAAAAGTTTTTACGGCAGAAGGAATAAAAGATTTGGCGTCGCTGTTGTTTTTTTTGTTGTGGGATGACGCATCGCTTTCCAGAGGCACAAACTGCGAGCGGAGCACATGGTCATGGTCAGTTTGGTCTTAGTTTTTCGGAGCCACACAGAGGCCAAGTCCTCCATCTGAGCACCACTGATTTTGCCACACACTTTCACAACATGGGTCAAACTGTTCTTTCTCAGATAACCCATAAAACCAACTAATACAAACTAACTAAAACTGGCAAACTCTCGATAAAGAAATAATTTAACAAGTTGGATGACACATTAAAAGAGTTAAGGTTACACATCAAGGGTCACGTTGTCCTCGTTTTGTGTGCTCGGTGTTCTGATCAAACCTTAGGAAGGAATCAAACACGGTCCAAGTATTTATAAGAGTCCACCATTTCCTCTGCTTGCTTTTGGGCTGTGACATTTTTTCTCAATGTCCACAAATTTTTAAAGAATACAGATACCTTCATTAAAATGTGTTTTATAAGATATTCTGATACATGGTCCAGTCACACTATTGGGAATACTTTCAATACTTTCACACAGAGTTGCATTTATATTATAGTATAAACACGCAACATGGATTAAACTCAACTTCAGATTTGTTATGTATTTTTTTTATCGCTGATCAGACAAGTGTTTTATATTTTCCTCACAAATTTTGCATAGTTTGAAGCTGAAACTGGAGTGATCAAAGTACCGACAAGTATTCCTTTGATTTTAGAAATGTAACTCTATTCTGAATACCAACAAATGAAAAAGTAAATGCACTGGAATTCAGTTACTCCAAATTAGTAGTTAGTAGAAGTCAGAATATGTATTTTCAGTACATGACTACTAATACTGCAGACATAGTTGTGTGTGATAATTATTGACCCACATAAATTGTTGTTTCCTCTACGTCGGGGGTCATCAGTAGGCAACGGCCAAGTACGATGGTCCAGCCCGTGGTCCATATGCCTGTGCTTAAAAAAGAATACTGTTTTACGGAATGCTTTTGTTACTCATCACATACGCAAAGCTTTGTTTAGTGTAATTGTTTTTGATAATTTTGTTGAATTTTGTTGTTCATCTTGTTGTATTCTGTGATTATCTTTGAACTCTCTTTTATTTTTATTTATTATTTTATTATTTTTATATATTTATTTTATATTATTATTATATTATTATTATTATTATTATATTATTATTTTTTTTTTTTTTCAAATTTGTTTTATTATGTGTCAAACAGTCAAGCGTGAGTGAGTGTGTGAGTGTGTGTGTGTTTGTGGTTGTGTTGATTTTGTTGTTTTGATGCTTATTTGAATTTATGTCTCCTACTGTCTGCCCTACTGTTTCTATCTTTTGTCGTTGTATTTATGAGGACCCCCTCGAAAACGAGATGGCGGGACATCTCGAGGGGCTTATCCTCCAAACAAATAAATTCAGTTAAATTCAGCTTTACTACTGTTCGCCGTTCAGACCAGAGAGGCGCGTTTATGTGTCAGCCCTTTGACTTTATACTGAATAACCAATCTAATCCACTTTATTTCTATAGCACATTTCACAAACAAACAGTTTCCAAAGTGCTGCACAAACAACAATAATAAAATGATTAAAATAAACTACTAAAATAATCATACTAGTCTTAAAATAATAAAACCAGTAAAATAAAATAAGAGCAAAATCATAGAAAAGCAAACAATAAATAAAACCAGTAAAAATACATAAAAAATAAATAAAAAACACAGAGGACCACACAACTCACGCGGTGTTAAAAGCCAGAGAATAAAAGTGGGTCTGAAGACAAGACTGTGGGAGCTGTTCGGACGTGGAGGAGCAGAGTGTTTCAGAGTTTGGGGACAACCACAGAGAAGTTCCTGTCCCTCCTGGTTTTAAGTCTCGTTTTAGGCACCAAGAGCTGGAGCTGGACCTCAGACCTCAGAGTGCACACGGGGGTAGAAATTTGGATGAGAACCAAGACATACTGTGGGGCCAGTCCATTCAAAGCTTTAAAAACAAACAATAAAATCTTGAAATCAACTCTAAAATGAACATGAAGCCAGTGCAAAGACGCAAGGATTGGGGTAATGTGCTGTGTCCTTTTGGTTCCTGTTAAAAGTCATGCTGCAGAGTTTTGGACTAACTGTACTCGGTAAAGTGCTTTTTGTGAGATAACAGTGTAAGTTACTCTTTTACACAGTTTTACTTCAGTTTATTTGCCTTTTTATCACTGGTGGTCGACTCAGAGTTAAGTAACTTCCACTGTTGATAAGAGCCTGTGTGATCTGATGAGATTTGTTCAGGTTTAGGGAGAGGACTTTCAGGAGCCGTCTGCTCAAAACCGACCACTGCCCGGAATCTAGATGAAGACTCAAATGTGTGATCCTGCACAATATATAACAATCAAAGAACTAAATAACCTGTCTGTTCATGGGAAAATCACGTTGTACCTGTAGTTTACAACACTACACACATGTTCTGAAGTGCATGAGGGTCTTGTATTAGTTTATCAGTTCATATCTCAGTCAGAGTTTTTACATATATTATCAAAAAATCAAAGCTCAAATTCAATACTTCAGTAAAAATTGAAACATCAAACAAAAATCTGAGTTGTATTTTTTCCCAAATGGTGCAAACCTGAAAGAAAATGTGACAGACTGCAGTATATACAGTATATATATGGCGTCATGGCACTGTGTTCACTATTCTATATGAGACTATTGCACACATCAGCCCTCTTTATACAACCAAGCAGCTCCATGAATAAGGCCTATTTCTCAAAAACACAATAATTGTCTTTGTGAATAGGGTCGCCTCTCCACAGATCTGACCTGTAATGTAGTCTATAGTTCTTCAGGTGTTTAATAATAATTTAAAAATGGACAAAATTATTACTCATTTATAAAACATTCATAAATGTTGAATTAGAATTGTTATGATTATCGATTCATTAAAGGTGCATTATGTAACAGCTTTGTCCATCCACCACTGGATGGATCGACCAACCCTGGACTTCAGTGACACCGAAACCATCCTGTCGGGATTCAGAAAGGCCGGAATAATTCTAACTGGAACTGATGCTGAGTCTGACGACAGCGACACAGAAGAGGAAGTGACGCTCTGTTTACCTCTGGAGGTCGTGGAGTTGCTCAGAAGTGACACTGAGGATGAAGAATTTAATGGATTTAGTGATTTGGAGTGAGATGGAGAGTTTGTTAAACTTGTTCTGTTCTGTTGTTTATGTTATAGTTTATCTGAAGAACTGTTCATATGTGACGTTAACAGTCTGTTGTTCTCTGTTCTATTGTTATTACTATAACGTGACTTTCAAGATGAAATGTCGGTTCCTGGTCTCTGATTTTATAAAATAAATTTCCCCCAAAAAGTGCGACTTATAGTTTGGTGTGAATTATTTCCTTCATAATCCCAAGAATTCAATAAAAAAAACATATTTCTTCATGTTGTCTGCACTGAAATGAATCATGGGATATGTAGTTCTCTATGTTTATAAGCTGTTCCTACTATAAAAAAAAGTATTTAAGCAAAGGAATTTGTGATTTGATATATTGTGACAGTCCACGATATTATTGTGAGACTTTTGATGATATGATATCACAGTATTTTGGTTATATTGACTTATACTCCGGAGCGACTTATAGTAAATACAGTAAACACATTTTAGATTTATTTTCGCACAACTCGACTAATTCCAAATACACAGAGAATGTAGCAGGAGGTGCGGCTCTGAAGAAACACGTCTAATGAACATATGTTAGTTGTGGATCACTCCAGGCAAAGCGATAACAATAACATCTCCATGGAGACAAGCAGGTGACGGACCCTCCACCAGAAAAGTTGCTCAACGCACCTTTAAGTTCAAAGTTCACTGCAGTGCCGCTGTTGTTTGGCCTGGACATGTTAAACGTTTAGAGGAGAGGGACGTAAGCAGCTTGTCATTAATCAGTGCAACAGAGAGGAGCTGTGAATAACAAAAGACCGTGATGGGCTTGTGCTGCTAATACCTTTCAGCTTTTTACAGAAGTGTGGACCAGATATTACCTTTGTTGATTGATCAGCATTCAGCAGCTCGCAATGCCTCCTGTGTTTGGGGTTAAGTCTTATCAGATGACTGTGAAGAGTGAAGAAGAATTAAAACAGAAGTCAGAAATCAATAGAGTAAATATTGACAGCACAGCCTTGTCTCACAGTGTAAAACTCTTTTATCAAATCAGCAATACACAGATAGTGGTTTATCAGTGAGCTGTACAGTTTTCAATGTTTTACCATACAACAACTAACCACTAACATATTCAATTTCACTTATTAAAGGGCTCGTGTGACTCTGATCTCTGTTATAATGTTGTTTCCTCATCACAAACTTACCTGGAGTTGCGTTTTTGTCATTCACACACTCACACAGACCAAAAATAAAGCATCACTCATATGTGAAAGAAACAAAACACAACTCCAGGTATATTTTTGATGAGGCAACATTATCAAAAAACTCATTATAAAGCTCACAAGAGTCAATTTTGCGTAATAAATGAGCTTTAATATCATTACTGAAATCTGATGAATATTACTAATTACTAAAAATGATTTGAGGAAAAAAAAAAGTGGTGAAAGGTTTTGTATTTTAAATTTTCAACTAATGTAACCCACAATATAAAAATAAAAGTATGTCCAATAGGGATGTAACAATATCCAAATCTCACGGTATGATATTATCACAATATACATCTCACGGTACGATATTTATTGCAATATTTTGAAGATATATACTGTATGAAGATATTTTGAACACTTTTTTGCTTTTAAAATACCCTACAAAAAGATTTTGGTGTGAATTATTTCCATCATAATCCCAAGAATTCAAGTAAAAAACATATATCATCATGTTTTCTGCGCTGAAATGAATCATGGGACATGTAGTTTTTGATGTTTATAAGCTGTTGCTACTATAAAACCATGCATTTATGTAAAGGAACTTGTGATTCGATATATTGTGACAGCCCGTGATATTATTGTGAGACTTTTGACGATATGATATCACGATATTTTTATGCATATTGATCATATATTTATGAACATTCTAGACAAAGTAATAACATTTCCAAGGAGACAAAGAGGTGGCGGACCCTCCACAGTGCACCTATAAACTAGAAAAAAAAAGGAAAAAAATATATACTACTTCTACTACTAATACTACTTCTACTACTAATACTACTAATACTACTAATACTACTAATACTACTACTACTACTACTACTACTACTAATACTACAACTACTAATACTAATACTAATACTAATACTAATAAGTATGAGAATAATAACATTTGTCCATTAGGCAAAAGCAACTTCATCCAAACTACTATTAAAATGCTCAACAACATCACATCCTCACTGTAGTTCTGTGAGTATTTTACACTGTACTGCCATTTGTATTGATATTAACTGAATCCTTCCTTTAAATATAATACATTTTTGTCTTTATTTGTCATTTTAATTAAGGGCAGTCCTTGTTCAGTGCAAAGGTAGCAATAAATAATTAAAGATAATAAAAAAGACAGTGTCACTATGGATATTCATGTATATATTACACTTAATAACTATCTTAAATGTGATTTTTAAGTTTTAATAAAATGTGTCTGATGATTTTTTTCATTTTCATTTCATTTGGTGGAATAAATAAGTAATAAGACAGTAAACACATATTGGCATACATAATATAATATAATATAATATAAATGTCAACTGGATGAACATATTTAGATATACGTATAAATGTATGCCTTTGTGGGATTATAATAAAAAATATATAAATAAAAAAAATTATAAAATAAAACTGAATTGAACATAGTACCTGTATAATAAAAAAAAAAAAAAAAATAAAAAAAAGATTGAAAATTACAGGAAGTAGAAAGTTATTTTTAGAGAGTCTCATTTTGATAACCTCACACTACGGAAAATTCTGTCCAAATAGCAACACAATTTACACAAAAGTAACACATTTTCCAATATTTTAAGCAAGATTTGATCAAAATAAAGGTGTTTTCTTACATTTTTGTTTGTTTCTGTTTTGTTTGTAAGAATTTCTGTGTATATTATAGGAGTTTTAGCCCAACGTACGTTATGGTTGAAGGTAAACGTTATGAAATGACCATGATTTACTGATCTGAGACCTACAAAATGACAAATTGGAAAAAAAAAAAAAAGTTTAACATTTATAGAAAAACCTTAATTATAATGAGTTAAACTGTGTTTTAGTATAATGAGTAGACCAACCTGGTATACACGCTTTAACCTAAACTAATTATAACTATTCTAATTAATACGAACTTATGCATCTTATATGTACGACATTAGTAACATTGATCAGGGTTTAACTAAGTGTCAAAAATCACACCTCACGTTCAAACTCACATTCAAAACACGAGTATAAGTGGAGTTCACACAGTCACATGCTCCCATCATAACCGTCCTCGTCTCTAAAGTGGTTTCGATGGGCCGTTTGACCTTGTGCTGTTTGATGGTCATTAGGTGATAATGACTCAGGAGGGGGTCAAACCTACTTACCCAAACCCCAAATCGCTCCCCCCTTCCCCCCGTGGCCTTCTGGGAGCTCAGGTGAGGCCTATAAAAGGGGTCTCAGGACGGTGCAGGGGGCATAACTGCAAAGGTCCAGCTACACAAACAACTCATCCTCTGCTCAGAAAAAACAGACTCAGATACAAAAAGAAACATGTGGAAGGACACTTGCAATGGTAAGTAGTGTCACTGTGTTTTTAAACGACTTTTTAAAATCAGAAAAACCTCAAATTGTTTCTTTATTCAGCGCAAAGTTACAGATAAACTTAAAGCTCGATTTTCTGATCTGTTTCCTCATCACAAACAGACCTGGAGTTGTGTTTTGTTTCATTCACACATTTTTAACGCAAAAACCCTGCATATTTATGTTCTTCTCTCAAATGGAAAACACTCTGTTCCACCTTGTGATGTCATGCAGTATACAATGAGTGCTCCACTATGTTTTTAAACTCTATAAACCTTCACGACTCTAGAATTATTTTGGTAATTTCAGCTGGAATGGTCAATCTCTGCTGAACTAAAGGTCAAAGGTAGCTGAAAAGTACATGACATCACAAAGTGCAGCAGAGCATTTTGAGATGTAAACAGACCAATAATGAAGGAATTGCTCAAACATGTGGGAATGAAATGAAACAAAACAAACTTTGGGTATGTTTTTGAGGAGGTAACAACTTTTTAAAGTGGCTTAAAGCTCACACGAGTCAGGTTTGCGTAATGTAGGACCTTTAAATGCTAAAACAGAAGGGAACATGTTTTAACTTTTGCATACTGTTTCTTAGATCCTGTAGCTGTTTAATATTCAGGGTTCCCAATCTTTTTCACTGACAAAATTTCAAAACATTTCCATAACTTTTTCATGACCTAAAGTGAATTTTCCATGACTTTACGGCACCTTCATGTGTAGAACTGATCAGACTTTTAAGACTAAATATGACATGTTAACCCTTTCCACTCACCTTATGGTTTGGTATTATAGTTTTTTAACATTTAGAAAAAAAATCCTGCACACTTGTATTAGTTGCAAATTGTGAGATTTATTAGGACAAACTGTTACTGTTTGCCTGATGAAGGCCTAGAGACGAAACGCTGCACGGTTTGTCCTAATAAATCTCACAATTTGCAAGTTAGACAGTGTGCAGGATTTTTTTTTTAACTGTTCCTCTAATTTTCAATATGGGATTTTTCTCTATGTACTTGGGCTGCTCCCTCTCCTCCAACACACCCGTCTCAAGTAACTGACATGCAAAGTTCTCAATCTTTTATATTTTTTTAACATTTAAAATCCTGTCAGTGCATTTATTGTCGTCTCTTTTAAACAAAAAGGCGCAGACGTTCAGAAATAATCATCATAAATGAGTGCCTTTGTGGGATTGTAATTTAAAGTTGTGGAAAAAATAAAACTGAATTGAACAAAAAATAATACTTGTATTTAAAACTAAAATAAAGTATTAATTAAAATTACAGGAAGCAGAAAGTTATTTTTTAGAGAGTTTCATATTGATAACCTCACATTAGGGAAAGTTCTGTACAAAAAAGCAACACAATTTACATCAAAAGAAGCACATTTTCCAATATTTTAAACATGATTTCAACAAAATAAAGGTGTTTTCATACATTTTTGTTTGTCAGATAAGAATGTCTGTGTACATTAGAGAAGATTTAGCCCAACGTACATTATGGTTGCAGGTAAAAGTTATCGAATGGTCATGATTTACAACCAGTAAAATCTGAAAAAAAATGACAAATTTGATTTTTTTTTTTTTTTTAGTAAAATCTTAAAAATAAAAAGATACTAAAATTCCATGACTTTTCCAGGCCTCGAGAATGACATTTTCAACTTCGATGACTTTTCCAGGATTTCCATGACCGCGGGAACCCTGAATATTGTCTAAATACTATCACAAAATTGTCACAAAAACAGAAATAAGTTGTACTCACTTTGAAATAACAATGAAATGTATAGTTGTATTATGAATGTTTAGACTTTTCCTAACAGACCTCATCTCTGTCTCTAGATGATGCCAGGTCCCTCGGCTCCAGCATGGCGTCCCCTCGGAACACCAGCCGCAGGAAGAGAACCAGTTTTTCCAAAGAGCACGTGGAGCTGCTCAAGGCCACGTTTGAGACCGACCCGTACCCCGGGATCAGCCTCCGGGAGAGTCTGTCCCAAACCACCGGCCTACCAGAGTCTCGCATCCAGGTACTTTGAAAAACACTGGCTCATTTTCTACTGCTCTTTAAAGGTGCATTGTGTAACTTTTTGGTTGGGGATCTGTTTTTTTTTTTGTTTTTTTTTTGCTTTTTTCTATGGATATATCATTGTTCTATCTCACATTTATTCAATTACAGATGGTTTTATAGCTCAAAAATACCAAGAAAAACATGCACATCTGACTGAGCGGGGTTGCCTCTCCACAGATCTGACCTGTAACTTCATCTGGTTTGGTCTCCATGGTGATAGAAAGGTTTAACGCTGTACTGTGAAACATTCCTGGCAAAGAAATAACATCTTCATGTAAAATAATGCTTTGCTTCTGCTATAAAACCATCTGTAATTGAATAAATGTAAGGCAGAGCTGTTTAATGTCATACTGTGGAACATTCCACTCAGCACAATGATGTATCCATAGAAACAAGCTTCACTAACTAGGCTTGTAGTTTCTTGTAGTACTCTAAAAACTACAATTACAGTGGTAGATGAATTCAACTTATTTTTGTCAAGAGAAAAGAGAACAGATTTTGCTTTCATTTGTTGATCGCTTTGGCAACGGCAATCTTAATTTCGCTTAGTTCTGAAATCAAATACATGCTTTTAGGCAAATACTCTATATATTTATTTATATTTACTGCTCTATAACTGTGCTTGCAGCTTCCAAAGTACTTTAAAGGGTCAGTCTGGAATTTTGGACATAGGACCTCATTTCCTAGTGAGCCAGAGTGTTGGAGACGTGTGGAGACACTTTTTAAAATATTCCATCCAGTCCTTGTATTTGCAGAGGTTGTTGGTGCTAGGCTAGTGCATGTCAATGGCCATAGTTATCCTGCCACTAAAAACAGTCTTACCCACTCCACAAAACACCCGAAGCAAATCTATTATTACACCAGACTGTCAATGTAAATGTCTGTGTTGATAGAATAATGTTTGAAATAAAACTAACCTTGCATCGCATGAATCGTCGCATGTTGAGGGACTATTTTCTCATATATCAGTCCGCCGCTGCCAAGGTTTCTATCAGGAAGTACAACTCACTACTGCTGCTCAGACATAAATCCTTCAAATGCAAGTTTGGTTTTACTTCTAAAATTATTCTATCGACAAAGACATTCACGTTGACAGTCTGGAGTAATAATAGATTATCTTCGGGTGTTTTGTGGAGTGGATAAGACTGTTTTTAGTGGCAGGCTAACTATGGCCATTGACATGCACTAGCCTAGCACCAGCGACCTCTGCAAATACAAGGACTGGATGGAATATTTAAAAAAGCGTCTCCACACGTCTCCAACACTCTGGCTCAGTAGGAAATGAGGCCCTATGTCCAAAACTTTAACTATTTTCAGTAGTGGATGAATTCTACTTCATTCTATTGAGAGAAAATGTATATGTATAATATTTAGTCTTAATTCATTAACCATTATAGCAACAGTCCTAATTTAGTCTGTATAGGTATTGTTCAAATATTAGTACAGACACATAAGCTATAAAATTACTCAAAAACATACAGTGGAAGTAAAGATCCACTTAAGAAAAAGTACTGGAGTATTGGCTAAAAATGAACTTTTAGGAGTAAAACTGTTGCATATAGTTTATTTTATTTCACGTTATCAAACCAAACTCAACACATGGAAAATCTTACTGTAGTATTCAGTGAAAATACCAGCTCAGATAGTAGCGTTTTATCTTTATGCGTGATATTGGCGATCTCTTGCTTGGGCTCAGTAAGTAAATCGGTACGTCAATGCGGTAGTTCCAGCAGACCTGAGCCTCTGTTTTCAAATGTATCCGGTACAGAGGCGATGATAAGTACTATCACTGCATCATTACATTTACATGGTTTTATCAGTTTAAGACTCATACCAGCGTTATCTTATTTGAGCGGCCGGAGAGATCGTAGTGTAAGCAATCAATAACCGCGAGTGGCAAAGTACAGTAGGTCGGAGATTATGGTTCATTTGATGCTAAAAAGTTGAGTTAACGTTGTATAAAATTGTGAAAAAGGCGTGGAAATTGAACGGCTTGATTATTGGAAATACCCGTGGTGAAAAAAAGTAGAGCTGTTGCCGTAGCGATTAACAATCAAATCAAGTTATGCAATCTATGGAAAGGTCATAAAATGTGACCTATAAAAAGGAAGCTGAAACCCAAACCAAGTATAAAAAAAACAAGATTGTGGCTTTGAAAAAAAAAAAATAATAAATTAATTAATAATAATAATAATAATAATAATAATAATAATAATAATAATAATAATAATAATAAATAAAAAAATTAAATTTGTAGTTAAAGGTAGTAGTTAATGGTGCATTGTGTAACTTTCCTGGTGGAGAGTCTGTCAAATGCTTTTCTCCATGGAGATGTTATTACCAAACCAGACCAAGTTACAGGTCAGATCTGTGGAGAGGCAACTCCACTCAGTCAGAATGTTTGTTTTTCTAAGTATTTTTGAGCTATAAAACCATCTGTAATTGAATAAACGTTAGGTAGAGGTGTTTAATGTCATACTGTGGAATATTCCAGGCCGAGCAATGACATCTCCATAGAAACAAGCAGGCGATGGACCCTCTGCCAAAAAAGTTACACACACTGCACCTTTAAATTATACTGTGTCGAATTTTGAATGTATGCATGGGTGTCAGTTTTCTTTTTATGAGGGCCATTCTGAGGACTTGTTTATGCTAAAACTACAATATTTCATTTTGAATTGTTAATTACCATGGCAACGCTCCTAATATTTCATAAAACCCATTTGTATGGATGTACTATTATCTACAAACAGTCGACAAAAGGGCTGGGTATCGTTAAGAAGCTGCCGATACGATACATACCTCGATACATAGGCCATGATACGATGCATATCTTGGACACTTTCGTGCACTTTCAATTCGATACAGTATATTTCAAATTGATTCGATGCGGTTCAGTCATCATAAAGGCTAAATCATGGCTGTGATACTTAAGTCTTTGTCAAACCACTTCTTGTGCAAAGTTCATATGAAACATGCCCATTTTAATCATCAAAACAGTGAAAATGTCAAATGTGTCGCATAAACGAGTTTCCTTCCTCTAACAAGCAACAAAATTGTAACTCTGTAACAAAATAACTGAGTAAAATATACCAAGAAATACTCTTGATACAGCAGGCTACGATATCGATACCGTATCATCACATTAGGCGATATGAAGTATTGATTAAGGGTGGGCAAAAATATTGAAATAACAATATATCATATCGTTTAATGTAATGATACAGTATCGACATTGTGAGCTGCTGTATCGGGTATTTTTTGATATATTTTACTCAATTATTTTGTTACAGTGCTACAGTTTTAAGAAGGAAACTATTTTATGCAACACATTTGACATTTTCAGTGTTTTGATGATTAAAATGGGTGTTTCATATGAACTTTGCACAAGACTTCATTTAGTAAAGACTTGATGATTTAGTTATTATTTTTTATTGAACTGAATCGATTTGAAATATATCGTACTGGACCGAAAGTTCACTGTATCAAGGTATGTATCGTATCAGCAGCTTCTTAACGATACCAGCCCTAATATCGATATTTTGATATTTTTGCACGCCCCTAGTCTACAATACCATTCGTTTTTGTTTCTGCAGGTCTGGTTTCAGAACAGAAGAGCCCGTACTCTGAAATGTAAAGGTGCTAAAAAGTCCCTGTGGCAGTCTGACAGTCCGGTCCACGATGCCCTCCTCACGCCTCACGTCACCAAACACGTCCCAACGACCTCCCAAGCGCCGCCGCCCGTCTTCGTGAAGGAGGAGCAGGGGGAGCCGTGCTTTTACAACCAGCGCCCCCCAGCTTACAGCACGCCCGTGTACAACCACATGAAAAGCAGTCCCTCGTTTCCCGGCTACTGGTCTCAAAATGTCCGCCAAACATCCCCGGTCCCGCTGCAATGGTCCAACGCAAACTTCGCCCAGAGTTCGTTCATGCTCCCCGGGGTGTCCACCACGCCGGACACCCCCGATTCTGGATTTTGGGACAGTGCCATGGACGTGAGCCCCCAGATGATCGGAGTTTATGGGTATTCACAGTTGGACGATTCGTGGGGCACCGTGGCAGCAGAGACCCCCGCTCCGGCCGCACACGCCCCCCTCCCCGAACTGTCCCTGCAGGAGATTCTGGGAGAGCTGGAGGAGGACTGGCTCGGGGGGGAGGAGAACAACCCCTTCTGCTGACAGGACAAGAGCTTGGACTTATAATCACTTGTAAATGAAAGATTTAGCTTCATAATTGTGTTTTTTTTGTTGTTGTTGTTTTGAAATAAGATGAGCTATCGCCAAAGTGAAACCAGTCAGCTTTACTACACTGAACTTTTCTGTAAATATTTATTATTCAACTATTATTTGATATTTATACATTTATTTATACTTGCACTTTTATAATAAATGGGTTGTGATATATTGTGATTTATTGTTTTTTTTTTTTCTGATCTATGTTATAATGTTGTTTCCAGAGGTGGGAACTTGCAAGTCGTGACTTGGACTCGAGTCAGACTTGAGTCTCTATTTGGGACTTGACTTGGGACTTGACTTGGACTTGGGACTTGACTCGGACTTGAGGTCTACAACTTGAGAAGACTTGAGAAGCACTTTTAAATCTGAATTCTTTCTTTTCTGATCGTAATGATTCACACTAAGATCTTGTCAAGACATTTAAAAAGGAAAAAATAACATTTCTACAACTCTTACATACTCTATGAATACTCAAATACAATATTATGATTTTTTTTTAAGTATAATTTTGTTTAAAATTCATATAAATTGCACAAATCTAAGCTATATTTGGCACTTTAGTTTAAAGACTTTAATTGACTTGAAGCTCAAAGAAGACGACTTGGACTTCATTTGGATTTATGGGCCAGTGACTCGAGACTTGACTTGGACTTGCCTGTATTTGAACTTGGGACTTGACTCGGACTTGAGGTCAAAGACTTGAGACTTATTTGAGACTTGCAAAACGATGACTTGGTCCCACTTCTGGTTGTTTCTTCATCACAAACAGACCCAGAGTTGTGTTTTGTTTCATTCACACATGTTTAACACACAAATCCCACATAAATAGGCTGATGTGGTAATACAAGAAGTGCTCCACTGTGTTTTTAAACTCCACACACCTTCACTAGAATCATTTGGGTAATTCCAGCCCTGGAACTGAAATAGGGATGAAGCTGAGGAAGAGAAAGGGAGATAGAGAGAGAAAGAGAGGGATGGAGTAGGGATGGAGGAGACAGAGAATGAGAGAGACATAAAGAGAGAGGAGGATGGAGAGAGGGAGAGGTGAAGAAGAAGAGACACGGGAAAAACAGAAAGAGAAGAAGATGGAGGAATGGACAATGAGGAGACAGAAAGTGAGAAAGAGAGAGAGAGGGGGAAAGGGTTGGAGGGAGGAGAGAGAGAGAGTGGTTAAAGTAGAGAGCGGGAGATGTGGAGAGAGAGAAAGAGAGGGATGGAGGAACGATAGATAGAAATGGGGCTGAAGAGGAGAGATAGGGAAAAAGAGAGAGATGGAGGAGACAGAATGAGAGGGGATAGAGAGAAAAGAGTAAAAATGTAGTTTTTCACCAAGGAAACCAACTTTGTAGCTAAAGAAACAAATCTTGAAACCATAAAAAACAACAACACTGATATAAACAACACGTGTTCAGGAGCCTGTGATCAATTCAAGTGCTCATGGTCCTGTTTAGATTTTGGTTTTCAAGAAGAAAGTCAGAGTGACTAACTGAGAAACTGTTGACTAATGCGAGACAGTTTGTCTCCGACTCTTAACACTGCGTGAGTTGTGTGGTCCTCTGTGTCTTTTATTTATTTTAAATTTATTCTATTGGTTTTATTTATTTATTGCTATTCTCTGGTGTTTATCTTATTTAATTGTACTGCTTTTATTGTTTTAAGACGAGTATGATTAAATCAGAGTGTTTATTTTAGCATTACATTGTTGTTATTACTATGTATTTGTGCAGCACTTTTGAAACTGATAGATTTTTCAAGTTTTAGACTAAGTAAGTTCACTCATCTCTTCACAAAGAACAAAATGGTGAGAAAATGTGATGATCTGATGACAAGCAGCCTATTTTATAACACTTCTGCATGTTAAAAGACATGTGACTAGAGTTGGGTAAATGTAGTACAACCATGTGACCAGCAGATGGCGCCTCAGAGTTAAGAAAAAGAAGAAGAGCATTAGTTTGTATTGGCTAATGACTTGACTATTGGTGCTGCTGTTGTGTCTTTGGGCAAGAAACTTCATCTACTTTGTTTTGGCACAGACTGGCAGCCTCATGTCCATCAGTCAGTCCTGGGGCAGCTGTGGCTCCAGTAGAAGTGCTTTGAGAGGTATGACAAACAATATTTATTTAGAAATACAGTGGCTCTATAATATTTCTACTTTTCACACCGAGTACCAGAATATTTTGGAGAACCACCAGATCTAAAGTGTCAAGCTTAAACATGAAAAAAAGGAGACTGAATGAAACAGGTATAATTCTAAATAATAATTAAGCCAAAGGAGTAAAAAAAAAATACAAATAGATTAAATTAAACAAGGCAAATTTATGTGTACAGCATCTTTTAATACACCAAGTAATTCAAAGTGCTTTACAGAATAAAAAAGACAATAAAATCACAATACAAGCAAATGAAAACATACAAAATCATCACCATATTATTATTATTTATTTACTTTTTGAAATCTGGCAATGTTATATGTCTTTCTATGTGATTATACTGCCTTTTATTGACAGTTCTCATAAGGAACCTGCAGGGATCTTTACTTACTTGAAGGTCCAACTGTATATTACACAAAATTGACTCTTTTGAGCTTTAAGCCATGTTCTGATGTTGAAGTAAGTTAAAGGCTCATATTATGCTATTTTCTGATCTGTTATAATGTTGTTTCCTCATCAAAAAACATACCCTGGTTTGTGTTTTGTTCAACTCACACAGGTTTGAGTAATTCTTTATTAAAATGTGTTGATTTTATGTACTTAAGACAAGGACAGTGCACAGAAAACATTAAACTCAGAGAGAAAAGATGATCTGTGCCACATTTACAAGCTGCTTTCCATCTGCAGTCCTTGGGTAAGTACAAAATACATTAAGGAAACTATTTACACAACAATAATTCAACAGTTTCTCCTTAAAAGAGAAAAAAACACTCTCCAATTCATCATTAAATCAAAATTAATTCATTCTAAAATGCTCTGATCCACCTCGTCATGTCATGTAGTGGCAGTGTTGGGGAGTAATGGATTACATGTACTGGAGTTATGTAATCAGAGTACAAATTATGAGTAACTGTATTCGGTTACAGTTACTGTTTCAATGAGTGGTAACTGGATTACAGTTACTTTGTTGAAATAAATGGATTACACGGTGGTATTTTCTTGTTTTCACATTTGGGGCCATATCCCTTTTTTTTTTTTTTTTTTGTCTCGGTAATTCCACTCATTGCCAGACACTAAACCAGGTCTAAACCAGGACTGAATCAAGACTAAACAAGGACTAAACCAGGACGAAACCAGGACTAAACCAAGGACTAAAACCAGGACTAAACTAAACAACTAAAAAGGACTAAACCAGGACTAAACAAGGACTAAACTAAACCAGGACTAAAAACCAGGACTAAACAAGGACTAAACCAGGACTAAACCAGGACTAAACCAGGACTAAACCAGGACTAAACCAGGACTAAACCAGGACTAAACCAGGACTAAAACCAGGACTAAACAAGGACTAAACCAGGACTAAACCAGGACTAAACCAGGCCTAAAACAGGTCTAAAGCAGGACTAAAACCAGATCTAAACCAGGTCTAAACAAGGACTAAAACCAGGACTAAACAAGGACTAAAACCAGGACTAAACAAGGACTAAACCAGGACTAAAACCAGGACTAAACCAGGTCTAAAACAGGTCTAAAGCAGGACTAAAACCAGATCTAAACCAGGACTAAATCAGGACTAAACAAGGACTAAAACCAGGACTAAACCAGGTCTAAAACAGGATTTAACAGGACTAAAACATGCTGCGCGAACTGTGTCTCCTCCTCCTCTATCAATAATATTTTTAAAGACTCGGCCTTTTCATTTTCTTTTAGCAGACAAAACATCTTATGTGAAGATTTCCTCGTCTTTGCTTCTCTACAACAAATCAAGTAATCCAAAGTATTCAGATTACGTTACTCCCCTTAAATTATTTATTGGATTACGTTACAAACTACATTTGGGATATATAATCTGTAATCTGTAGGGGAATACATTTTAAAAGTCACCTTCCCAACACTGTGTAGCGGTAGTTAAAGTTATTCAAGTCAGTTACGTTTTACCTTTTGTTCAGTAGATATTGGCTGTTGCAGGGCTGAAATCATCCAAATAATTCTTGTGAAGGTGTGTGTTTTCTGTTTGAGAAAAGACCTCACTCTAAATATACAGAGTTTGTGTGTTAAACATGTGTGAATGAAACAAAACACAACTCCGGGTCTGTTTGCGATGAGGAAATAACATTATAACAGATCGGAAAATAGCATAACACGAGCTCTTTAACTTACTTCTGCTTTAAAACGTCTTCAGAAAGCTACATTCTTAATTCTATTTCTGTGTTTCTATTTCCGTGAGCCAAACATGTATCACCTCACGTCCCTCGTATGCCCCAGGTGACCCCGGGCCTCTGTATCAAACACAGAGGAAGTGCTCAGGTCCAGTCCAGGATATACACATGGGGCCCAGCTGCTTTCCTCTCAGCACAATTTACACAGTTGTTTACAGTGAAGATGAGAGGAAGGGTGTAGTCTGAATATTTTTATGTCCTGTCCCAAAAACAAATACACAAAGAGACAGAAGAGAGAGAGAGAGGAGAGAGAGGAGGGGATGTTTGCAGTTCAGGAAGTACAGTAGACAGTTTACTTAGTCGCAGTTTAAACTTAGATGTAGAGCTGTAAAAAGTATTGACTAAAGACTAAAACAGTGTTGAAGGTGCATACTTATTTGAGCAGATATTGATATAAAAAAAAAAAAGGCACAAGCAGAAATGAAACTTTCCTGAATAGCTTTAGAATAATCTTGCATGTCTCTGTATCAACAAGTTTAAGACAACATACGCTACGTTCAGACTGCAGGGCTTAACGCTCAATTCTGATTTTTTTGTGAAATTCGATGGTTTTGCGAGGTCGTTCACATTTCCA